CTGGAGCTGAAGAATGTTGGAAGGTATGGTAGAGACATCGGTGAAATAGGCTGGGAACACCACGCAGATTTTAGAGATGTTTTGAAGCAGCAAAGGCTGTCTTGTTTGTTGGTGCATAGCTCTTTTCAAAAGGATGTTGATGGATAAATACTTAGCTTGGTTCTTGCTCTGAAGTATTTAGAAAGGGCTACAAAACTTGATAGAAACACAGACATTCAAGTCCACCTGTCCATAAAAACCAAAACTATCAGGAAATATATATGTTTTCTAGTGGGGGTGATCTGAAAGCCTGTCTTCTTGTTATGTATTTTAATGTACAAAATACATGGCACATGGCAACACACATGCCCCAATAATGTTTTCTCTGTATTGGTAGTGTTCTGGAAAGAATCTCCAGGTGTAGGTCATTCTTGCTGCAATGACCACCCATTTTCTCTTAGTCATCAGAGAAGGTACATTCCGGTCAAGGCATTAACTCCCATTGCTTTCCATAAAGCAGACTGAACTAATATGCTAATATCTCCCACTGAAATCAGTGGAACTTTAAAATAATTAATTTCAACTGAATTTGCACCAATTAGTAATTTGATCAATTATATTAATTTGATTGTACTTAATTGCCTTCCCACAAGCTTTTCAGTCAGTTAATTTAAGATGGATTAATTTCCCCTTTCAAAATGTCAATTTTCATCATAATTATGAACAGAAAGATTATGAACTCTCCCAAGATGCCTGAGTCATCTCTTTAAATCAGAAGAAATTCTTGGATACATTGTCAAACTCTGAAATGTGTCAGCTCTCCTGAAATTTTTCTTCCACCACAGCTTCAGCCAGAGATAAAGTGAATGGCTATAGGGATGACAGTGTTTTTAGATGATTCTGGCAGTGAAGAGAGATGTGGGTGGCGGCAGCCACTTCCTTTGTCTCAATTTAATCCATGGAGCAAATACCATGAGCTGTCACCTACTACCTACAAACAAGATGACAAAAGTTGTAGCAGAAGCTGAGGTAGCTGAGTTTTGCATTTGCTGTCACTGGTCTACTGGGGTCTACTGGTCACCTGTCTCTGCCTTATACTGCTCCCATTTTAAGTGGTTCATGAATTCAAATCAGGCATCTCAGAGCTTAACAAGCCTTTTGGCAGTTGCAGACAGTGGGGTGTGTTCATGCACATGCTATGAGAAACAGGATGCAAAATGAAAGACATAAAACTGCAGTACATACCTTAGGAGAGGTGAAAGTTGCAGGTCACCACAAAACCAATGAGACAGTGCTGCTTCTGTTTAATTTTTTTAAGCCTCCACCTTGCTTTATGAAAAGAGGTGCTCCCTGCTAGGCGGCTTCAAAATTTCCTTATGCCTTCTCTTAAAAGTCTGGACAGTGAGTCCCGATTATCAACTGATGAGTGCAATCATCAACCCTTTCTAAAGGGCTGGGACCTGAGCTGCCCCCTTCTCGTCAGGCCTCCGTGAGTCTTATGCCCAGCTGGCCCAGGACAGGTCACCACTGCTCAAAGCTTCTATGCTTGAGCCATGCTTTCACATTGCTAGTATCCCTACCCTTGCTTCTTCCGGCCACCCTCACTGTGAGGCTTTGCACCAGGCAACAGATCATGTAGCATCTTCTTATGATTTATATTATGTCATCAGTGTGCATTATGCTTTTGCAGAGTAAAAAACAAAAAAACTGCTGCACCAAGGAGTTTACAATCTAATATTAGACACATGCGGGAGATTAGCTGCCAAATCTAACAAATGCATATTCTTGCTAGTTAGCATGAGAAGGGGCTAATACCACAGAGCTGTTTTGTTGAGAGGCAGAAAGTCAGACCTTTGAAAAACATTTTCCTACTTTTCTTGCTTGCTTTTTTGACCAGTCTTGGATGCAGACATGTCTCTGTTTGCTCCAGCCTGAAGCTGGCTATACTGTCAATATAAATATTTTGCCTGCAAAGGTTTGACTGTTGAACCAATGCAAGATTTGTTGTTGTTTGTTGTTTAGTCGTTTAGTCGTGTCCGACTCTTCGTGACCCCATGGACCAGAGCACGCCAGGCACCTCTGTCCTCCACTACCTCCCGCAGTTTGGTCAAACTCATGCTGGTAACCTCGAAAACACTATCCAACCATCTTGTCCTCTGTCGCCCCCTTCTCCTTGTGCCCTCCATCTTTCCCGGCATCAGGGTCTTCTCCAGGGAGTCTTCTCTTCTCATGAGGTGGCCAAAGTACTGGAGCCTCAGCTTCACGATCTGTCCTTCCAGTGAGCACTCAGGGCTGATTTCCTTAAGAATGGATGCGTTTGATCTTCTTGCAGTCCATGGGACTCTCAAGAGTCTTCTCCAGCACCATAATTCAAAAGCATCAATTCTTCGGCGATCAGCCTTCTTTATGGTCCAGCTCTCACTTCCATACATCACTACTGGGAAAACCATGGCTTTAACTATACGGACCTTTGTTGGCAAGGTGATGTCTCTACTTCTCAAGATGCTGTCTAGGCCTGTCATTGCCCTTCTCCCAAGAAGCAGGCGTCTTTTAATTTCGTGGCTGCTGTCACCATCTGCAGTGATCATGGAGCCCAAGAAAGTAAAATCTCTCACTGCCTCCATTTCTTCCCCTTCTATTTGCCAGGAGGTGATGGGACCAGTGGCCATGATCTTCGTTTTTTTGATGTTGAGCTTCAGACCATATTTTGCGCTCTCCTCTTTCACCCTCATTAAAAGGTTCTTTAATTCCTCCTCACTTTCTGCCATCAAGGTTGTGTCATCTGATTATGCAAGATTATAAGGAAGTAAATTATATTTTTAAACTTACTTCCCAAGTTGTTGCCTGATTGTTTGTTAAGGAAGAAAGGGGGAAGCCAGCCGACTTAGTTGGCTGGATTTGCTCAAAAGGCGGCTTTACAGCCTAATTCCTGTGCTTCAATTTTGCTGCTAAGGATGGGACTTTAAAAATCTAGTCAACCACAACATGGAGGAAGGAGGCAAGGGTAATAGGCATCCTCTTTTTGCAAACACAGAAGTAAATGTGACTTACTTTGGAGGCAGTGGGGTTAGGATTGCAGCCTTACCTGTCAATAAAAGAACTGCTAAAAGATTCCAAACTTTTTATTACACAGAAAAAAAACCTTGCAATCAGTACTGCTCCACTCCACTCTCATATAGGGAGAAGATACAAAGCTTGTTCACATGTTACACTGTACATAGGTACAAGCTGTCTTTACATATGTACAAGCGTTTCTGTGAAAGAGTGTACACATATTGATTGGTACACCTCAACTATTGTGCACACAGATTACACACTCCTAGAACGCTACATGTGAGTAGCTGTACGAGTGTACAGCTCAGCTATTTGTGTACACAGGTACACAGATTGTACACTCTTTGAATGCAATGTGAAAACCCCTATTGTGTCAAGATTTCCCTGCTGGCATCCAAGCAGAAACTCACCCACAGTTCCCAGCAGTTTATCTGGCAATGGAGAAAACATATTGCTGTGACCGCTATGCAAATATATTAATTAAAAAGCACAGCAAAAGCTATGTCAAAATTATGTGACTTCAAATTGTCAGATTCTGAACTTTCTTGCAATAAGAGTCCAACCCTTTTAATTTGTCCCCCCGCCTCCCAAAAAAGTCTCCCTCCATGTTTGGAAGGAGGAGCACTTACAGCAAAGTTAGAAAAATGTTAACTCTGCATTGCACTTTATCAGCCAAACTCAATGTTTTTTCACACATGCAAGAAAAGATAGAAGGTGATGGAAATAAAAGCTCAGTCACTTCAGTAAAGGGGATTGCATATTTGCACATGTTCTTTCGTATGTGCATGGCTTCTCTCTTCACTAAAGAACATAAGAAGCAGGAGTTCCATGTCTGTGCAACAATGCCCATGGAACTATAGGTTGGAATAATGGACTGTTACTCATAGCCAGCATGAACAGTACACCTTATAAAAACATTAATGCAGGCAGAGAAAACAAGTGTGCGTTTACAGTAAATGCATGCTAATGTTAAATAGTGCTCAAGTAACAAATCAAAAGCACAACAACCAAAACATCTCAAAACAAACACACCATTTAGCTTCTTTCTATTCCCTGTTTAGGGAAGTTTTTAATATTTAATGCTGTATTGTTTTTAACACTTGATTGGAAGCCGCCCAGAGTGGCTGGGGAAACTCAGCCAGATGGGCGGGGTATAAATAAATTATTATTATTATTATTATTATTATTATTATTATTATTATTATTATTATGGAAGAAGCAGAACTGGAATTTCCTGTGTGTAGATTCAAGGTGGGGATTTTCCATTCCAAGGACGAGAAGCAATATTTTTCATGAGGCAATACTAAAAATCTAGAATTAAGAATTAGCACTGGACATCAACTGACTTATTAGCACTTTAAATACAGTTGTTCTAATAATCCACTTCTCCAGAAAGTGTTCCAAGAAACTATTAAATGCCATAAGATTTAATTTTGCTGGAGTCATAACACAGACCAGTTTCCCCCCATTTTTAGTAATCCGTTATTGATCTGTGGGCATAGGACCTTGTGTTCTTCTAAACAGGGGCTTAATATTGTAAACAGCTTTTTTAAATATATAATTTATTGGATTTTTCCAGAAAGGGTAAATCCTGATTATCCTTGAAATAAGAGTTGGCATTTGATACCAATCATCATGAAAATGTTGTGAAAAATTTGCCCACATGCGAAGCATAAACACTCATCTGGATGTACCCCATAGACCTCTGGTGATTTGCCTTCCTCATAGGGTTTCTGGTGGACAGGAATTCTATCCTATATCCTATCTGGCGAGGTTTTGCTGTTTACAGTGCCAGCAGTACTATGAACAGTGAAATAAAGTCCTTGGGACTCCTCGTGCCCATGTTCTCTCACCAGCTGCTAAGCACTGTGCAGGCAAAGCGGCAGTCTGCATGGCTCCTTCCGAAGCAAACGTTCAGGGCATTAGTAGGTCTTGCGGCATCAACAAAGACAGACTGAGATCCTGAGCAAGTGGCAAAAAGACACAATTCATTCACAGCAATGTCATCATCCATTTGGATAGCCAGTTCCTGAATGCATTGTGCTTAACAGTTCTGCAGGATTTGCTTTAGTGCTCACAAGAGGACAAAATAGAACATGACAAAATGGAATGTGCTTTCAGCAAAAATAAACATTGGCACCTTGGAGACATAATAATCTAATACATACAATACTAGTGTGACATAACTCATTCTTATTTATGCTTGGTTATCCACTGCTATTCAGCAAACCTAAGGTAACTCTGCTAGTTCTTTGTAAAAAGTGAGACAATTAGAAAGATGCTCAGTGACTAGTTCCAAGCAGTGCTGTGGTTCATTTCCTACACAAGAGTCTCAGAGCAAATACAATTAGATGCAGGTTTGGCTGCAACCTTGCAGTTCCTGCTCCATGAAGCTACTTGGGGTAGAATAAGCAAACACAGCATTTAACTTGCACACCTTCAAAACAACAGTAACCATCACAGGAGACCACTGTGCTGCACACAGAAATAAGGTCTAGCTCAACGCAGGTCTCAGGAATGAAGCGTGACACCTAGGGGTAAGATTGAGAAAGTGCAATCATTTCAATGGAATTAATTCTCAAATTTAATTCACCAGATTGTCAGACACATCCAAGGCAGTGTGTTTTTTTCCAGTTTGTTCCGCCCCACAGTAGAAAAAGGAAAAAGACTAAAATAGCAAGTTCCAAGTATGCTGCTTTGACAGTACTATCCTGAGACAGGAATGCTTGTATAGCTATAAAAATAGAAAGTTTAAAAAGATACAAAAAAGGGTTACAGAAATAAAAAAAGTAATTACACTTGCTGTTATGGGACCAAAAGACAGTAAGGCAGCCCAAGCTGTATACTATATAATTATGTAGGTTGCAAACTACCAGTCAGTCTAGTGGTACCCACTTACGGAAGGGTGGGTGGTGTCTGAAAAGGAGGAAACCTGGTCTGGGAACAAAACAAAGCAGAGAGTTTCCTAGTGGTGATGTACAAGAAGCTGTGAGACTTCCCACTTCAGCATCACCCTGTACGATGTTTTCAAACAGCTGCTGCAGCCTGAAGGACTTGCACGGGGCCTGAAGAGGGATGCTAGTGAGTCATCAACGTGTCTCTTGACAGTATCTCTCTGAATTCTTCGGTTGTGCCACATCAGACCCAGGAGTCACTTCCTTGTAAAAGGAAACTATTCCCAACATTCCACCAGATTTCTGCTTCAACTAGCCAACAGCTTTTAAAACCAGTCTTCATGGCTCAAGAACTGCAGCCTCCTACTTGATACTGCCACAGTGAGCTAAGTGCTGTATGCATTCAATTAAATGAACATTGAGAACTAGAGACACGGGAGACAGAAAAGGTGGTTGCAAGTGTGCCTAGGGCTACAGATCTGCTATCTTAGTTTGAGGTGTAAAAAAAGTCCACAGCCATGGAAACAAATTATATTATCTTTCTCTCCAAGTATTACACATCTGTGCCTATCTTCAAGACAACTTCTCCATCCCACCAGTAGTTATATCTTCAGAGGGAGAAGGAGGGACCCAGCAGAAGAGTCTATATGTTCATTTGTGAGTATCAGCTAATCAGGTAACTGTGCTTCTCCCTGGAATTAGTGTTCAGAACCATGCCTGAGAGATTGCCTAAGGAACAGAAAAACAAAGCACAATGATTAGCAAATTACAGGATTTTGACAGGAACCCCACCCCCATCTATTCCAGGAACAATTCCACCAAATGGGATGGTGGGTTTTATCAAAATCGCATCAGGTGAGAGTGGTGCAGCAGTTTTGTGTTGCTAAAAATGTTGGCTTTCAATGAACTATTGGGAATCCCTATAGTGTTGAGCCAAGTGACATCATAAAGTGGTTTTGGGGGAGGAGGCAAGGGAGAAGAATGGAACCATAGGCTTCCTTTTAAGATGACACTGACCTGGGACTGGACACTGACTGCCATCAGCAATAAGGGAACTCTGTAGCTGTTCAAGTTTCCACCTCTCCCAGAAGGAGTCACTGCAAGGTAATGGTGTGGAGAAGTCCCAAGGTGGGGGTGGCGATAAAGTAGGCAACATAAAATATATAAAAACAAAAGAAGTGGATGGGTGAGTCTAGAAATATGCCACTGTAAAAATTCCAAAATTATGAGAAGAGAGAACAGAAAGCTAGGATTTGTTTAGTCACACTACGCTGTAAAACAGAGAAGGGTCTGTTCAAACTGTCTGAAAGATGAGAAGGGAATCCCCATGGCAAATCTAGCGTTTGTCACATGTATTTCAGATCCTAATTGGAGGAAGCATCCCCTGTAGTTTAGCTAAGAAAAATCTACGACAAAAAGAATGAATGGAATAATTGAAAATTTTCCTTACACCATGGCCCTGACCTGATGATACATTTGCACTAAACGGGGGGGGCATACAGGCAGCCCCAGTCAATCAACAAGAGTACCAATCACCTGGCTGGGAGTGGGAGGCGGGGCAGGGAAGGCTTAATCCAAATCCTGCTTTCCCCTTCAGAATAGTAGTTCTGGTCTATCATCTAAGCAGGGCTGGCCTAAGGCACTTCGGCACCTGAGTCAAACTACAAAATGTCCCTGCACCCAGCCAGGGAAGAAGGGATGAATGAAGATCTACACCAGGAACAAGGGTGGGAGGAGACCAGCAATGCCTCCTATTCGCCAAGATGTTGCGGCAGAGGCAGCATGTGGGGGGTGCGAATGCTGAGGAGGCCTTCAAGGCGTGTGCCACAGCTCTTGCTGCTACCATGGCCCCCCAAATCTGCGCCCCCTGTGGATCCTGCGGTCTGAGGCAGCCACCTCCCCTTGCCTCCTGGGTGGGTCGGCCCTGCATCTCAAGATGCCACGAGGGTGCTGGGAACCAGGCCTGGCAGCTGTTCCTCATCCACCTAGGGATGCTGCACTCATGTTTATAGGTCCTTGTGCTGAATCAGAGTGTATCACAGGAATCTCTCTCAAAAGAACAGCATGTCACTAGATCTCGAAAAAGGGAATGTGTATCAAACCACTATTACGGCTAATTAGCAAAATGGAGGCTATAGAAACAAAAATAAAAAAATAAAAATTCTGGAATGGACCATTCACCAGAAAAATGCAGTTTCAGATAGGGTAGGGATGATATTACCATGAGGCTAAATGTCCCTGGCGTGGGACAGAAGGAAACAACATTGTTGCCATACGTCTGGGGAGAATTTCCGGGATTTCAATGGTGGAAGTGACGTCTGGGGGGAATTTCCGAAAAGCGGCAGTTCATCCTGGATTTTTTGCTACATAACCAAAAAATTGTTTTTCCAAAAGGGGGGGGGCACAATTTGTATGTTTTTGGATTTTCACTTCGTGAAATATGGCAGCCCTTGTTTCTGCTGACTTTCCATGGATTTTCCATGGGGGTTGGGTGGAAGGCTGCCCTATGTTTGCTTATAAGTTTTCTTACCTGCACTTCACCATAAGGGCACAGGGCAGGTTACAACAAATCATGAAAGCAGTGATAAAACATGGAAAACCATTCCAGCCCGGCAGAAAGTGATGTGAATGCATCTGAACGTGAGAATTCATTGGGTTCATTTCAGTCTCAGACCAAACTGCAGCAGGTATTGTCAATGCCATCTCATCTGCCTGTTCTGATTTTGGACTCAATCTCAATAAGTTAGTTGTACAAGTATACAAGGGTTGCTCAGCTATAGGGTTCAAGCACAAATCAGGGCAATATATTAGACCACCATTGTCTACTGCTAATCCCACAGTTGGCACAATTAAAGGCATCATAAAATATTTCCCTAAGAGCATCCAAAGACTAATTCCCAACATACCGATGCTATGTGAAAGCTGGGGGGTTCAACAATGAAAGAGTATCTGTGTGTTTGCAGAAAATTACCCCTTATTATCATGCAACTCAAGCAATTAGCAGGACCAGGCAAAACCAAGAGAAGACATATTTTGTCCCAGTTGTGTGCATCATGGACAACAACTTGCATTGTTTGTCTTTGCATTCGCTAATTATCTCACGGATGTCCTCTTTCATTGATGAAACTTTCAATCCCATTCAAGAACTTTACAAATTTGAAAACTTTGGGGATGAGTCTGTTACTTGGTATGAATTGTTGGCAAAAGGACTCACAACTTGCGCACATTTAACTTGTGTGATCACAGTTTTACCTGCTTTGCAGCTGGCCAGCTGACATTGCACAAATGAAACACAACTTGTTGGTGCCAAGGGTTTTCTGACTAAATGTGATTTCAGTTTTATGCCTACCCCTCCCCCCCACATTCTGGGAACATTGCCCTCACACAAGCTGTGAGTCTACCAAAGAAATATAACCATCACTGGGTGATGTTTGTAACATGAGCCTTACTGAACTACTGGACCACAACAAAATGTGCTCTGCTATTAAAATGGTCATTCTCATAGCACTTTCCCTCCCAGTTACAAAATGCACAACTAAACAATCCTTTGGCACATTGTGGAGGGTGAAGGCAGGGCTAAAATCGACAATGAGTGAAGACTAATTGTCAGGCTTGTGTTTGTTGAGTGTCCATAGAGAAAAATGGAAGAGCTATCCCAAGGATAAATTCATAAAAGACCGTTGACAACTTCACTTTTTGTTTACAGAATGATCCACCTAGTACTGTGTTTTATTTAGTGTCAAGGAAAGACAACCCTCTTTCCATATCAGCGAACCCTGACCCGGCAACCCTCATCTGAGGTCCACAAAAGATCTCGAAGGTAGCAAAACAAAAATGGGCCTTTTCTGTGCTGGCTCCCCATTTGTGGAATGGTCTCCCCAGGGAGGGTCACCTGGCACCATCATTATATATCTTTAGATACCAGGCAAAACCATTCCTTTTATTCCAGGCCACCGGGTAATTAAACAATCTATGGCCTTTTAAACTGGGGGGCGGGGCAGTTATTTGTTTGTTTGTTACTATGTTATGTATTTTTGTGTTTTTATACTATAAACTGCCCTGTGATCCTCAGATGAAGGGTGGTATAGAAATTTAAAGGTAAAGGTAAAGGGACCCCTGACCATTAGGTCCAGTCGTGACCGACTCTGGGGTTGCGGCACTCAACTCGCTTTATTGGCCGAGGGAACCGGCGTACAGCTTCCGGGTCATGTGGCCAGAATGACTAAGCCGCTTCTGGCAAACCAGAGCAGCGCACCGAAACGCCGTTTACCTTCCCGCCAGAGCGGTACCTATTTATCTACTTGCACTTGACGTGCTTTCGAACTGCTAGGCTGGCAGGAGCACGGACTAAGCAACGGGAGCTCACCCCGTTGCAGGGATTCGAACCACCAACCTTCTGATCGGCAAGCCCTAGGCTCTGTTGTTTAACCCACAGCGCCACCCGCGTCCCTTGGTATAGAAATTTAATAATAATTTTAAAAGCATTAACAAAAAAACCTGACTGGTTTCAGACCTTGGGTTTGGCATTCACCACAATGAATAAAACATATGTGTAAAAGTAGGGGAAATTCAGCCTTAGGGGTTTTAATTTGGTTTAGAATTCCAAGTATTGATGTTCAATGGACAAACTCAAGCTGTATGTTTTTCTCTGTTATTGGTAAATGGACAAATAAAGGAATTTGTTAGAAGTTAGTTCTGATATGTATAATCCCATAAAATGCAGTAAATTTCCAACAGGCACAATCCACTATGATTTCTCGTTGCTTCTCTTTAGCACAATGCAGTGGTTTGTGGAATTATGTTCTATGAAGACTGCAAAGCATCATCAACAACCTATAATTAAAAATCTTTTTACAAATCTACTTTGCCCCTGCCCCTGAAATTATTTCTGCAGACACCCATGTGCTTGGGAAGTTCAGCTAAAATATATAACACAGATCAAGAAATGTACCACCACAGCCTTTGTGGTTAAAGCAGAATTCAATTAGCTGTTAGAGACAAAAAGGTTTCCTTTTGAAAATGGAAGTTTGGTCTAAATGAAGAGAACAAAAAAGAAAAGAAATGCAAGCAGACAATAGCAGGGGCTTAAAATGAATTTGAGGAGCAAATTGCTAAAAACATAAACAATAACAATGAATTATTTAAATACATCAGAGGCAGGAGGCTAAATAGAGAAGTGGTTGGACCCTAGACTGACCAGGTCAAAAGTGTGCTAAAAGAAGAAAAGGAGATTGTAGAAAAGTTGAATGAATTCTTTGTGTTCGTCTTCACAGTGGAAGAGGCAGTGGAGGCAGAACAAAGCCCTTGTGGCTAGTAGCCATTGCTAGTCTTACCTTCCATGAATTTGTATACAGTGGTACCTCGGGTTAAGTACTTAATTCGTTCTGGAGGGCCGTTCTTAACCTGAAACTGTTCTTAACCTGAAGCACCACTTTAGCTCATGGGGCCTCCTGCTGCCGCCACGCGATTTCTGTTCTCATCCTGAAGCAAAGCTCTTAACCTGAAGCACTATTTCTGGGTTAGCGGAGTCTGTAACCTGAAGCGTATGTAACCCGAGGTACCACTATACAGTCATTCTCTTTTAAGCCATCCAAGTTGCTGGCCATCGCTGCCTCGTGTAGGAGTGAGTTTTAACTATGCACTGCATGAGGAAGAGCTTTCATCTATCTGTCCTGAATTTGTGGAATTCGTTGAGTCTCATTGGATGTCGTTGAGTTCTAGTGTTACGAGCAAGGGGGGAAATACCTCTCTGTCCACTTTCTGAATGGCAGGCATCATTTCATACACTTCTATCATGTTGCCTCTTACTTGCCTACTCTCTGAACTCGAACACCCCAAATGCTGCTACCTTTCCTCATAAGGAGTTCCTCAATCGTTCTGGTTGCTCTTTTCCTTTTTCAGCTCTACAATATTTCTTTTGAGATGAGGAAACTAGAACTCTACACAGTATTACAAATGCGGTTGAACCATTGATTTGTGTAATGGCATTATATCAGAAGTTTCATTTTCCTTTCCTAATTATCCCTAGCAGGAAATTTGCCTTTTTCACAGCTCAACATCTTTGTTGAGCTATCCAGTATGACCCCAAGGTATCATTCCTGGTCAGTCAGAGATGGTTCAGACCTCATTAGGGTATATGTGAAATTGGTTTTTTTCTCTTGACATGCATCACTTTTCAGTTGTTTACATTGAATTGTGTTCACCATTTCACCACTCACCTTTTTTGGAGCTCCTCACTACCTCTTTTTGTTTTAACCACTTTGCATCATTAGCAATCATGGCCACCCCACTGCTCACCCCTAGCTCCAAATCATTTCAGAACAAGTTAAAAAGTATAGGTCCTAATACTGATCTTTGGGGGACTCCACTTTCTACATCCTTCTGTTGACAGATCTGTCCATCTATTCTTACTTAAACAATACCTGATACAAAAGAGGAGCCTGCCTCTTATTCCATGACTGCTAAGCTTACTCAGGAGTCTTTGGTGAAGTAGTTTGTCAACTGGATCACCACTACCTATATGGTACTTGACACTCTAAAAAGGAGTGAGATGGGATGTATCCGTGCGGAAGCCATGCTGGTTTTGCTTCAGCGGGGCTTGTTCTAAATGCTTGCTTGTTTTATCTTCAACTTGTGTTTCCACCAGGACAAACATTAAGCTAATTGGCCTGTGATTCCCAGCCTCTCTTGCCACGCCCTGTAGCCCCAATCCCCTTTTTAAAATTGGTGCCACGGTGCTCACTTTCTAGTCCTTAGGCCTTCAGATCCACCTCTCCCTCAGCAGTGAGTAACTAGAATAGGAAGTAGCCCCTAGTCAAGCTAACAGATTTAACTGTAGTCACTTTTTACAAGAACTAATAAATGTCAGCCTAATTGACATATTTTATAAAGTATTAAATGTTAGATTACTTCAGCATATACTTTTTAAAATCAGTGTTTCCATTAATTAATAAAATATATACATTGAAGAATCCAGAATGTATGTTTAAAGCACATTTACAGTCATACATCATGTTATGGACGCTTCAGGTTACGTGTTTTCGGGTTACGGACTGCAGGAAACCCAGAAGTACTGGAACAGGTTACTTCCAGGTTTTGCCACTCACACATGCGCATAAGCGCTAAATCGCGCTTTGCGCCTGCGCAGAAGCGCCAAATCGCTCTGGCGCCTGTGCAGACGTGCCACTTCAGGATGCAAACGCTGCGGATTGCGGACGTGCCTCCATCATGGATTACATCTGCAACCTGAGGTTCCACTGTATAGCACTTTAACAGTCATGGCTTTCCCCAAAGAATCCTGGAAACTGCAATTTACCCCTCACACAGTTACAATTCCCAGCACCTTTAAGAAACTGCAGTCCACAGGATTCTCTGAAGGAAGTATGGTGTGGATGTGGAATTCAGATATGAATAATACAGCTGCTGTGGTCTACAATGACCACAATATAATGAAGAATGCCACTCAGGCTGCTGGTACATTGGAAATGCATTTCCAAACGGTTATGGAACTGACTCAAACAAATGCTTCCATAATCAATGTAATTAAAAAAGAAAAAGTGAGTCACTGCCATATAGTGCTTGTCAAGCATACAGTTAGTAGTGATCTACCCCTGCCACCACTGCCATTATAATTTTCCTTATTTTATTCATTCAGCACTTGGGTCCTAAATAAATATTTGTTCCCATGGACTGACATGTGTACAACATATTTTTTTGGATGCTGCAATAATATAGCAGTTGGTATTATTGATTATGAGAACCCTTTTGGTAGCTGAGCAGAAATTTGCCAGTAAAGAAAGAGAAGGTGTACTTACCTCTTGCATTTCCTAGTGTTTGACAATCGAGATCATCATCAATAAACTCCTCCCCCTGGATGATATTTTGGGTGTCCTCTCTACGGTTTACAGGGTTGGTCATCTCTTGTTCTTTTTCATTTTGCATCTGTGCATAGACATTTCTGCCTGGTAATTTCCTTAAGAGTACAAGACAGGATTGTAATGCAATGTTGTACAGTGCTGCCCTGATCCACAAATGGGTGTGGATAGTACCAGCTCATTAAGACTCAATTGAATTGGCTAGAAGCACCTATTCATGCTGATGGGAATGTACTTGCCAACCTAGAACCACCTGTTTTTGCACTATAGCCACACTCTAGGGACGCGGGTGGCGCTGTGGGTAAAAGCCTCAGCGCCTAGGACTTGCCGATCGAAAGGTCGGCGGTTCGAATCCCCGCGGCAGGGTGCGCTCCCGTTGCTCAGTCCCAGCGCCTGCCAACCTAGCAGTTCGAAAGCACCCCTGGGTGCAAGTAGATAAATAGGGACCGCTTACTAGCGGGAAGGTAAATGGCGTTTCCGTGTGCTGCGCTGGCTCGCCAGATGCAGCTTTGTCACGCTGGCCACGTGACCCGGAAGTGTCTCCGGACAGCGCTGGCCCCCGGCCTCTTGAGTGAGATGGGCGCACAACCCTAGAGTCTGTTAAGACTGGCCCGTACGGGCAGGGGTACCTTTACCTTTACCTTATAGCCACACTAGGACCTAAATCAGATGTTGGCAACCTAAGGCCCATGGACTTTTTCTGGCCCATGAGCTTCCTGGAACTGGCCCACGGCCGTTCCGTGGATCGGCGTGCAGATTCCGTGCTGGGGGGGGGGCACCATTTTTTTCCTCGCCATGGGAACTGACTTCCGGGTCAGAAGAGCGCCGGAAATAGCATGTGCGCATGCGCACAGGTGCTCCTCCATCTCAGAAGAGCGCCGGAAATAGCTTGAGCACCCGCATGGGTGCACACGCTCCGGCCCATCGAGAGGTCTGTCAGGGAGTGGACCGCCCCAGCCTCAAAAAAGGTTGCCGACCCCTGGCCTAAATCTTTGCCTCCAAAAGGAATGTTTAAAAGGTGCATTGAGGCAAATCCCTGGTTAAGAACATAAAAAGAGGCCTGCTGGGTCAGGGCCATGGTTCAGGATCTTGTTCTCACAGTGGCCAACAAGATGCCTGTGGGACGTCTGCCCATGGGGCACACCACTGGCATTCTGGGTCATCTGACACAGTTCTATATGACTTTGGTGTGCACAATCAACATGCAGGTATGACTTGATGTTCTGCTTCTTCCCTGAGGCAAGCAGAGATAGAAACCAGGAATTGTCAATTAAGCTTGGCTTCCTGTTACATCTGAACGCATAGTCAGGTTTCGTTTTCCCCAGGTTTGTTTCTCTATTTGCATCAGGGGAGAAGCAAAGCATCAGGTCGCACCTGCGTGTTGATTGTGCACAACAAACCAGAAACAACGGTTGATTGTTATGTGTCAGTATGGCCAAAGAATGGGAAATTTGATGTCCGTAGAGTTCAACGTCCCAACCCTCAGTTCCAGAGAACTCTTGTATCCAACTAGGGCTGGACAGATCAATCTATTTCCATTCTGTGTCAATTTTTCAGGTCTTCATTGATAGGTCCATTCCATTTCTGCATTTATTTGTGATTGTTCATTATTATCTCAATGTGCACATTTATAAATATATGTTATTTTAAAAAGTTTAACACATTTTTGTGTATTTTATTTGAGTTGAGAACTACTTTTGAAGGATAGTTATGTTCCTCCTTCCATTTGGGAAGTGTAGATCAGGTTGTTTTGCATCAGAAACTGGATTCTTCAAGCATCCCCAGATCTAACCTAGTGTTTGTGACATAAGCTGACTAATAAAATGATTTGTTTAGCCCCTCATTTGTATTTCCGGTGTTATGATTGCTCATTGCTCACTTAAAGGAATTGAATTTTGACCTTGGAACAACAGATTGCTCGTTTCCTCAATAGATCTTTAGTGACTCAGATTGGTACAGCTTGTGACTATAATTAAAGTGAAATGAATGCTACTGTCCTAACTCTACAATGCTGCTCTTAGGAAGCTGAGCACCAGGCAACCCCTGAAAGATGCATGGAAGCACCAGGTTCTGCTCTGCTGAGTTTTGGCAGAGAGGGCTGACACCAACTCACCAGATACTCTTACTTTTCTCTTGTTGCAGCAGAGGGAATAACAGTCACATCAACCACTGCAAACCATTTTGAAGTTCATAGAGTAAAGTCTAGTCATACAGTGTCATTCAGGACTCGCCCCCAAATACTTGATCAGGCAAGGGTTTGTTTTTTTACTTTTTAATTTCTGGACCGAAAGGCTTCCACCCGGGACGTGGGACAGGGGCCTAGCACAGCCGGGGGAGTGGGGGGCAGGGAACAGAACGCAAAGCCACTGGCACTTTTCTGCCCTGCAGGGACAGGGCTTCTGAAGCTGCTACACATCCTGGAAAAATCATTTTCCCACAGACTTTACTCACAACGTTTTGTACAGGCAAAGTTACTTTCAGTTTAATTTTTAAAAAATCTGTCCCTACTGTGAATAATATTTTGTTTCCTAAAAAGGGGAATTATTATTATTATATCTGTTTTGGAAGCTATTAACAAACCACGAGAAGTTTATTATAATAGGGTTAGGGAAAAGATGTTGAAAAAAAGGTGAAGATTTTTTTAAAAAAGAAAAGAAAAGCTTTTCCTATGATTTCCAGACAACTTCTGCTTTATAAACGTATTCTGCATATGATGCCAGATATAAAATCACTTGCCTTTTAAACTTGTAGAGGATGATAGCACCTACAGCCACCAAAGAGATGACAAAAAGGGCCATTATCGCCCAGTACCCTCCTCCTCCAATACTCTGAGAATCTGAAACCAAAGGCACACACTGTTAAATTCAATCCTGAGAACAATCAACCATCCTCTGTATTTAGCATTAGTGCAGATACTTTTTTAAAAAAGTGACCCTAAACTGTATCCACTCATCTTGTCCACAATGCAGTAAAGTCAATGGGACTAAGGTCAGGGAACGGTATAGCCATTGACTTAACTGCAATTCCCAGCACCCTTCACAAAGTCCCAGGATTATTTGGGGCAGGCCACGTGCTTTATGTATGGTGTGGAAAAGATCTAACTCCCCAGGCCTATCGTCATTTCTGGACGCAGGGAATCTTCACTTCAATAGGATTTTCTTCCATATAACATTTAAGAGCAAGATTTAAATTTTATTCAAAGTGATTGTTTTAATTGTAATTATAGGCTGACTGGTGTGTTTGTGTGTGTGAATTCCAAACCAATATGGAGCTTCAATATTATGATAACTTAAACATGAGAGGAACATCAACGAACTGTCAAAAAAGGATACAAATTTTACCTGAATCAGAGCTAACTAAGGTCACAAAGACCCAGTGTCCTCCTCTCATGAAGAAACTGATGTTATGGGCATTCAAAGATTGCTTAATAGCAGCTATTCTCTGGAAACATAAGAAAAACTGCATTAGGCAGGTCCTACCTTCCACAAGCGCCAAAAGGAAGTCATTGCTTGTGTGGAGTTATTCACTGTTGAGTTGCTATGAAAATTCAGGCAAAAGTAAAATTCAAAATGAAGTAAGGGTTTCTTATACAGTGGTACCTCGGGTTAAGTACCTTCGTTCTGGAGGTCCATTCTTAACCTGAAACTGTTCTTAACCTGAAGCACCACTTTAGCTAATGGGGCCTCCTGCTGCCGCCGCGCCGCCGCTGCACGATTTCTTTTCTCATCCTGAAGCAAAGTTCTTAACCTGAAGCACTATTTCTGGGTTAGCGGAGTCTGTAACCTGAAGCGTATGTAACCTGAAGCGTATGTAACCTGAAGCGTATATAACCCGAGGTACCACTGTACTCAAATCTGGGTTACCCACAGCAAATTTTGAGGCAAAACATTCATCTATGAGAAGGCAGTGACTCCTGATGCTGCAGAATCTGAAATAATTCCTATTAAAGCTGATGGCAAAAGATGAATATTTTAATACTATAGGGGCCCTGTGACTTCTGAAATATTGATTTTGTTCTGTGGTAGTCACAAGGACTTTTCACTTCATGCTTCAGCTGCAAGAGCACTCAGGCATGATTATGCACCCAGTAACTGCCCATATTAAAAAAGAAACGATAAGACAAGACTAAGCAGTGTTTGTCAGGCTGATATCTGTCTCAATTCAGCATGTACAGTATTTGGGGCACAGGTTTTTTTTTCATGTAACATGATACGCTCTCCAAGGCTAATGCCTTGCGCTCTTTCCAAGGAAGAGGAGGAGAAATAAGAAAATTGGAATGTGAATCTAGGGCCAATTCATACCTTACAATTGCAGCCGAATTGGACGGTTGTTTCCTATACCAGTGCTGCACATCCCCAGATATTAGGAGTGCGCATACATGACCTGTGTCCTGGGGGCTCCAGGCACATAGAACAGATGTAGTCATAATGATGCATCAGCTGTTGGAGGGAACATGTGACAGTTCCCTCCTAAAACACTTTTAGGCCCTTCAAAGACTGATTCTCTGCTTTGCTAGACATGTTGCAAAATTACACGGTACTCTTAAGTTTAATAAGGAGTGAGGCAGTCAATGTGTATTGTGTTCTAAATTAATATTCATCTGTCTTCTTACCTTATTGCTAGACATACTTATTTTGCTTTTGGTGTGGTTCATGGATAGAAGCACATGTAAATCTGCAGTTGTGGGCAGTCCAGGTTTTACTACTGTAACAAGACCTTCTTCAGGTACGCCTGTTTCCTGAGGGGAGAGAAACCATTCAGAAATGGACTTGGACTGCACGGCTACCTTTGTAATAAACTGCTCTACTATAGCTCCTTTAAAGTGATTTGATTTGTTTCTTGCCTCACATGAATTAGTCAAGGTTTGGAATAACTACTAGAGAAGAACAAACAAAACAAATGGATGCAATAAAGAATAAATAATAATACAATGGTGCCCCGCAAGACGAATGCCTCGCAAGACGGAAAACCCGCTAGATGAAAGGGTTTTCCGTTTCTGAGTTGCTTCGCAAGACGATTTTCCCTATGGGCTTGATTCGCAAGACGAAACGTTTTGCTAGTCTTGTGATTTTTTTTTCACTCCCCCCCTTTTTCTAAGCCGCTAAGCCGCTAATGGCCTTTTAGCAGCTTAGCCGCTAATCCTTTAATAGCCGCTAAGCCGCTAAACCACTAATAGCGCTAATCCGCTTAGCCGCTAATAGGGTTGCTTCGCAAGACGAAAAAACCGCTAGACGAAGAGAATCGCGGAACGGACTCTTTTCATCTTGCGAGGCACCACTGTAATAGGAAGATTTAGGCAATTTGTTTTAAAAAGTGGAAAATACTTATTAAGTTCAACTGCCTTGTAGTTTCACCAGTGCCTTACTGCTTGGACTAATGACAGATTTAGTGCTGCGTGCTGTATCATCATCATCATCTAATTATTTATACCCCACCTTTCCCCCTGATGGGACTCAAGTTGGCAAAGATTCCCTTTTTTCCTCCCCAATTTTAACAGATGGTTAGGCAGTCTGATCCATAGCTGTCAATTTCCCCCCTTTTTAAAGGGAAATTCCCTTATTCTGAATAGGATTCCTCGCAAGAAAATTGAAAAGTTGACAGCTATGGTCTGATCTTATGCATTTACACTATGTTAAGTCCCATTGTATTCAGTGAGTCTCTTTCCTAGCTAAGTATGCAAACGACTGCAGTTCCATCTTCTAACATGGTAAGCAATATGTGTGTCTGTGTGCACCTTGCAGGGCAAGGTGGGAGATCTATTTATTTAGTTAGTTAGTCATTTTATCTTGCTCAAGGCAACTTCCAACTGAACAACCAACAAAACCCCATTGCATAGTTACATCAAAACCGGAGGCGGGAGGTGGTGGAATATGTATATATTCTTTTAAAAAAACCATTAAAACATTTATTCAAAAGTTACAATACAGCTTTGTCCATTGCCATAGTATCACAGAATGATCATTCTAATCCTCAATCCCACATCACTGTCATGTTGGCTTGAACCCAACCAACAATCTGGCTAGACATTTTTAATCGATATATCCCCTCTAGGATGATGACGACATTAAAATATCCTGTTCTTCTTCAATAAAAGAGAAAAAGGGAGACCAGATTGTGTCAAATGTATCTTTTTTGTAGAAACCTTTGATTAATCGCTGATGGTATGTGAGGCGTTTTGATAGAGCAATGCTCCAGATGTTATTAACCCAAGCCCCTATTGGTTTATTAGAGGTTCCTTCCACCGTTGGACAATAAATAAAAAAACAATCTGAATGTGAAACATTTTCTTGTGAGGAGGTGATATTGAAAATTATAGTGATGTAGGTAATGTGTCTGAAATTGAGCAAAACAATTTAGTGAAATACTGATAGGAGGTGAAACATAACAGATCAAAATCATTTTTGTATCATAAGTATTCCACTATTCTTTTTACGATAGGCATTCCTCTCAAGCCAGTGACAAGTATTTTAAGAAAACTACTCCCGAATAATGAGTTAATCATATTCCTCTCAAGAGGAGTCAATTTGTGCTTGTTATGGATCCTCGCTGATGTACAGTATATCAAAGCATTGTTTGCACTTCCTTTCTTTGTTGCTTGAGCCCTAAATTATATGCCATAATTTCAAATCTAATGTGCACCTCTAATTTCAGAACCTTGAAACCAAAAGAAGTATTTGCTGGTGATTGTAAATGTGCCATTGAATCAAAAGCGTACCTTAATTTTTGTACCGCAATTTGGCCAAAAATGGTGAGCATTAGATTTGAGTAAATACAGTATCTACAAAAGCAATTCAAGAGCATTTATTTACAATCACTGTTAAAACCTTGATAACCTGATAAATAAATAACGTAAAACCACATTCTCCCTGAAAAATGTCTCTACTTCATTTAAAGACACAAAGGGAACAAGAAGTAAAACCAAAACCCAGTTATGTCATCCTGCTGCACTAACTCTATATACAAGCTTCTCCAAAGGCTCCACATTCCCTCTGTTCCATCTCCGCTAAACAAATTTGCAAACCATCAGAGCACCTTTGCAATCTGTTGTGTTACAACACGGCCAACATCTTCCCGCCAGGCAGGTATGTTTGGGTTGTATAAGTCCAGGTGTTCAGAAAACCTTAGAGGAAGTACTTGAAAATTATCTGGAAACAGGAAGAGAGAACTTAAAAACAAATTTTGTATACATAAAAAAAGCAATTCTGGATTTGCAGAAAAGTTTCTCTGCACAAAGCTATTATGCAAAAGAAATATTCTATAACCACAGTCTTTATCTGAAAATTTTCACAACAGAAAACAAGCAACTAAGGGCAGAACTACATAGTACATGAACACACATGAGTAACAAAACCATGACAATCACTGGAAGAGTAGAATTAATTCCCCAAAGCTGATTGCGTGCCAGGATTTGTCATGTTCACAGCTGAAGCACCCACAGACCTGTAAATATTCAGAAAAGCCCAAGCTTTAACCCAAGCTGTCTCAGCTACAATAGGATGGAGGTGAAAGAATTTGCATAGTTTAAAATATATGTTTGAAAGGAAAGTGTCTCACCCAAAACCCGGACAATCTTGGAATCCTGAAGCATGGAGTTTCCACAGGAAGCCTGAACTGTAACTCTGACTTCCCCCACCTCTGCAAAACTGGTTACCAAAAAATTCTCCAGTGACAGAAGTGGCTAAAAAGAAAGAAAGAAAGAGGGAAAAATAAGCAAAGCCCAAACGTTCAACTAAGAGCGTTCATCTTCAAATTGAAGGGGGGAACAAACATGGGGACAATTTTCAGGGGAAGCAAAATTATTTGAAACATCTGAGGGAACTTCCCATTGGCAGCAGCGATGGTGCTAGTCTTTCTCCCCACTTTTAACCCTTTTATAAAAAAAGTGTGTCCACACCACATTTGTTGGCAGAGGAGCATCCCTTGATCACTACCAGCTGGCAGATGCCATTTATGTTCCCTGCAATGTCTCAGACACAGCGTCATTCCAGGACATTATGAAACAAAAACAGAAGCCAACAGGTGGCAGCCGCCAAGAGAAGCGCCAATGCCTATGAGCAAGGGCACCAGAAAAGGTCTTAAAAAACCAAAAAGAAGACTGCCATTGCTAGCACCAATTCACAAAAACCTGCAAATGGCACATGGAATGGGGGCCATTTTCTTTCAGTCCTAGAGCAGAGGGTGAGAAACAAATGAAGGGTGAAGAAAAATGCTGAGAACATTTGCAACTGTGGAAGCATAAATATTTCATATGGTAACAAACTGTTTATTTAATTTGGTCTAAGCAGGGCTTTGTTTGTGTGAGGATTCACCAGGGCATTACCCTGGAACTTGTATTTGCTGCCAAGGCTCAACCCTGGAAAGCGCTCTTGGGTATTCTCTGGATAGCAGCAGGGTGCTCCAAGGCATCGGGGATTAGCAGCAGAAGATCCAAGGCCAAGCAACAATTATTTTCAGAGGAGCATGCGTTACATATTCTTGTTTCTTCTTTTTTAGAAATTCATATGGGAAGCTAGATGCTGCATGCAAATGTGCATAACAAAACCCCATCAGTTTTTGAAAAAAAGAAGAGCTTCAGGAACCTGCCTGGGGCTGCAATGGTGCAAAAATGTGGTTACAAAGCATGGATCCACAGGGATTCTCAGGATCCTTGCATTGGGTCACCCCAAATTCACAATCAGATCACATAGCATGTCCATGGCTACAGCCTGCACCAAAAAAATCACGCACCCACTGTTGCCTGGGTGGGGCTGCAATGGTGCAAAAACGTGGTTACAAAGCATGGATCCACATGGATCCTCAGGATCTTTGCATTGAGCTACCCCAAATTCACCATCAGATCACATGTCTGTGGCCACAGCATGAAGCACAAAAATGATACATCCACTGTTTCATTCAGAATGTTTTTTCCCTTGTTTTCCTCCTCTAAAAACGATGTGCGTGTTATGGTCAGGTGCGTGTTATAGAGCGAAAAATACGGTAAGTTGGCCAAAGTAAGAAATTAAGCCAATTTCTATCAGAGCATCTAAGGTGACCTCTTACCCTCTCATACACTGAATTCCTAATAAAAATATTATTTACTTTTTATAAAAGGATTATCACTCTTCCGTACTGCTATACTTTGTTTGTTCCTAAATTTATTGTTCTAGCCAAAGGCCTTGACAAACTTGTAGCAATAGTATTACTAAAATAATACAGGTCATACATCCATAATATAAGCCAACATCCATGATGTTAAGAGAGAGAAGTTACCAGAGACAACAAACTCAAATCCAATTTGATTTGAGATCAAACCTCTGAATTTCCACAACAATTTATAGCAATTTTATCTAACTCCCTGATTTTTTCAGCCCATGTATAGAGGGCCACTGTCTGTGTTACGAAACTATTATTGTCACTCCAAAGAAAGATCACATTTTCTGCTGGGGGTGTGCCAGTGTGGTGTAGTGGTTAAGAGCGATAAACTCGTAATCTGGTGAACCGGGTTCGATTCCCCGCTCCTCCACATGCAGCTGCTGGGTGACCTTGGGCCAGTCACACTTCTTTGAAGTCTCTCAGCCCCACTCACCTCACAGAGGGTTTGTTGTGGGGGAGGAAGGGAAAGGAGAATGTTAGCCACTTTGAGACTCCTTCGGGTAGTGATAAAGCGGGATATCAAATCCAAACTCCTCCTCCTCCTCCTCCTCCTAGCTTGCTTGTGTGAACAAAGGCTTCAGAAAACGATCTCTTGGGTCTCCACATAAGGGGAAGGCTGGCAGATCACGAGTGATGTCTTCCACTTGAGGTGTGTCTGCATATGGGACCTTCTTGTAGTGACCATCCAAGACTGCAGGGCATCACTTGGGAATACAGCTCAATAGAGGCATTTCTTAAGGAAACTGGTGAGAATTTGGTCAGGTAACTAGTTCTAAAATGCTCGGTTCTCAGGAATGGATATCAAGGGGGAAACTGATGTTTCTAGTAGTTGCAGGTCCCTTTTAGATTCTATCCAGAAGAGCCAATTCCTTAGTTGCCACTTATCCAAGGTTAATGCTAACATTAGTTCTGGAAAATGATAATAGTTTAAAATCCTAAAGACCCAAAAGGTCTTTATAATTGTGATTACTCTTGAAAAAAAAGGAGTTGCAGTTCTCAGGTAAATACAAAGGATACTAGAGACAAAATTTTGTGTAACAGAATGGTATCGCATAAGATTGTGATGCTTCTTATATGTGCTATAAGAATAAGAAGCAAAGTTTTAAAACAGGGGTGGTAAACCTCTAAAAGTTGCTGGATTACAAGACACATTATATCTGCCTATTAGCCGTGATGGCTGGGGCTAATGAGAGTTGGAGTCTAGCAATATCTTGAGAGCCACAGGTTAGGAACTCCTGTTTTAAATATTGGAGAAGTCAGAATTACTAGTCAATACCTGAAGGTTGTTTCCAATCCACCAGTAAAACAGTGTAAAGTTAGCATTTCTGGGAAAGATGATGGCCGTCAGGTTCACCCTCTGATTTTTGCCAGTAACAGGAACTACTTCTAGCTGTAATGCCTGCAGTGGAGCTAAAAAAAGTCCCTATCATTAATTAAGAAACTATTAATTTATCAAGCACTTCAGGTTCTGAAATCTTTAAACAATTCATCAGCAATATCATACTGAAGCGCTGAGAGACATAAGCAATGCATTTCAAGCAAATCCCACATTGCCAACAGGTTGAGGTAAATGGCCAAAGCCAAGTGGTTAATCACTTTCCGGCAGCACTTTCTCTTGCATGCTAGAATATACAAGAAAATGGTCACCGAATTAACTCTCATACAGAATTAAATTTTCTTGAATATTTGAGATGCTCTTGCTTGAAAGTTCAGCATGTCCACTCAAAGCATTAAGGGACCCAAGCAATATTTGTGACACATTGAAATTTTCATCAAGAAAAAGAGAAGTGGAATTTATTATGCTTACAAGTAGGAAGTAGATTCCAAAGCCCCTCATATCCATGTTTGAGCAGCACTGAACACACCAACTTTGAAAGGCATTTCAGGCTTCAGAGAATGGAGACTCTATGAAGTAGCTTAGCCTTCTGCTTCGATAAAAGGAGCTGTGCAACCCCCAAAATTGACAGACCAAGTTATAGTGCAACTCCCTAACCAGACTGAGCCAAAATATTGGCAGAGTCACTTTCAACACCCTATGGGACCAGAGAGTATGCAAAGAGATTTTGCTTCAGCTTAGTGGGATGGGGAAAGTTTCTCCATCTTGGCCAGACAAGCTCAGGAATTGCACATCTGAATTTCTGCCAAAAGCTTAAGTCATGGTTTCGCTGGATGTCTGACCGACTAGACAATCTCTGTTCCCACACTAGTTTGATGCTAGGGCAACAAAACAGAGCATCTGATGGACTTAAGTGTTACTGAAAGACTTTCCACACTATCTGTTTTGCACATCACCGCAAAACAGACTGCACAAGAGGTACTACATTGACAAATAGTAATGTTGTAGCACCTAATGGTATGACCTAATGGTCAGGGGTCCCTTTACCCTTTACCTAATGTTGTAGCACAGGGATTTGTGCAAAGCAGAGCTCATGCGCCACCTGTGTATGCTTCCATTGATTTCTAGCAGGTGGGCTTGGGTGCTGAACAGCTTTCAGGGATCCAGCGTACTGAATAAATGTGTCAGAGATCACATACTATGGACCTCTGGCAGTCCCTGACACACCAACACACCTTGGGTTCATAAACAAAAAGAGCACTTAGCTGGTCAAATTTAGCTGAGTCTCTGCTTCTTTCTGAAGTGACAAAAGCCTTCATTTCACAGGTTGCCAAGACTGACCTATGGCAATAGTAGTATGGCTATGACTACTTCTACTGCTACTAAGGATGTTGATGACAAAAGACTAGAGAAGAATCAAGAAAAAGAGGTCAAGACTTACACTGAACCTGAATAAACACAACTGCTTCGTCTCGGCCTGCAGCATTCTCAGCTATCACTGAGACTCGGTAAATCCCAGGGTTTGCATAGCGGTGTTGTATGGGTTCACCTGTCAATGTGAGATTCACATAGATGGCCTTAACGCCATCGCCAAGGTTCAGCTGATACTTGGTGTTTAAAATATCTCCCTATGAAAAGCCAAGGACAGCAAAAATAAGAGACAGGTAAAACCAAAACAAAGCCACACACACACTTGCATTCAGCTCCATCATAAAAACTGACACTGGGAAACAAACAGAATTAGTCATCAGGAGGATTATTACTGCCAATTCTTTCATAGGGCTTTCATCTCTTTTAATACATAGACATTTGGAAGATTCTTAAATAAATCAGATGAAATGTGTGAGACTATTCCCTGGATTAGCCTGGCATTAGCCTGTTCAGCATTCAGAATGTGGGAGTTCCTATGAATTTATCCATGCTTGGCTTGGATTCAAATGTCAATGAGGACCCTCCTCAAAATGGGAATCAAGTCTTCCAACCCTCAAACTTCCTCTCCACACTCAGATCAAAATCCAAGTGTTTGGGACAGTGTCATGCAGAACAACAGAAGTAAATTAATCATCCAAGGCTCTCCCTCAGATTCAGATTTTTCTGATTGTTGTCCCCAGCTCAGGACACTTTGGAATGTTCCCGAACCAACCTGAGGGTCTAAAAACCTGGACAGTGAAAAGTTTATTCCGAGTTTCATGAATTTCAATGGTGAGAATGAATATCTGGCAATATATCTTAGTCTTATTCCAAACTCTACCAACCTGTCATATTTTGAAACACCTACATGTAAGCCAATAAACCCTCCAAACTACAAAGCCCCCATGGGGGGTGGGGGTGGCTCAGCTGCTCCTGATCTCTCAAAATATTATGCAGCAGCCCAGATAAGGTATCTGATAAGCTGGGCACAACACTAGAGAGAGATTATCTCAGAAGCAAGAAAGCCCTCTCTCCCATTACACCAGGGGAAACAAGCCCAGTCACTCTCTCTAACATAGATTGAACCCCTTTTTGATGTACACCGGGGAACCATCAATCAATCAATACATAATCCTCCTCTTCCTCTGGAAATTCACCATTCCCACTGTGCGTTGATTCCACTAAAATACTGGATCTTGATGAGGAATGATGCATCAAAGAACACTGCCTGAGGAGGGAATATTTCTTTCCTTTTTTTTCCTTGAAAGAAGCCCCTTCTGTTTCTTTTCAGAGGGTGATTCAGCATTGCTCTAGATCAGGGATGGGAAACCCTGTGGAACTCCAGATGTTGTTGGACCCCACCTCCCATTGGCCCCAAACAACATGGCAATGGGCAGGCATCATGAGACTCTGGTAAACATCTTCTTGGAAGAGTTTACCAGAATAGTGACTGAGGAAGCACAACTGCAGTCCCACACCCTCCACGTGGAACTGGAGTGGTTTTAGCAGCTCTTTGAGGACTACCTGCATGGGGAACTGGATCAGAACTGGTGAATATGTAGGTTCCCTTTCCCAAGTTTACGCAGCTCTGTAAAGCTTTGTTACAAGCTCCACACCAAATAAAAGTCCAGGAATTTGAGGTGTGGCCTATCTCCCCAGAGGTTTATATAGGGTCAGATGTCTTCTGGATGAGGATGTTCCTAGATTACACACCCTATCTTTGACTTTCCCTAGCTTATTTCACTCCGGGGCAAGGGATGCCATTCCACACAGGCATGTTCCCCACCGCCACATCCCTTACACAGAAGGCAACTAGCAGTTGGCTTGTACTTTCAACACTGGCAACAAGACAGCAGACTCCACTGCATTTGAGGGCAGCAGGCTAAGCCAGGAGACCCAGGACAGGACAGACACAGAGAGGAGAATGGGTGAAGGACTCAGAAGGAGTAGCTATAGGGGGCTGCTGCTACTCCTCCCTGCCCCCTCACCAACATTCCCCAACCTGAGGCAGCTGCATCATTTTAATTAATGCTAGGGTTGTCTTGCAACCCTTGTCCAGCCTTGATATCAGGAGAGGACAGAGAGCAGGGCTGCCTGTAGCTTGCCACTCCTGCTCCATCTCAAGAGAAGAGACTCTGCGGTGTTCATAACAGCATGGCCTTGAGGGGGAAAACATCGTGGGGGGAGAAAAATAAACTGGGAGTACTTTCTGGAAGAAGTGATATTTGGATAATCCAAACAACCTAACAAAGGGCCATTTTCTTCCTAACATATGTTAAGAGGAAGTTATGTGAAGACAGCAGAGGGGATTAATAGCAAGGAAAAGCTCTGCAGCAAACTTCCTTCCACATTAATTGGCAGGGCTGGGTCTGGGAGGACAAGGAGTTTGGAAGGAATCTTTCCCCAGAAAGAATTGGCCAAGGTTCCCACCCCCCACCCAAGTGGAAACTCTATCCTGAAAGACTAAAACGCATGTCCTGCTTCCAAATGAAAGTTGATCCCAGCTGCAAGGATCATGGGCAGGTCTGCTTGCCCCCTTATAGGTAGGGGTGCGGTGGCTTTGCAGGACGGCCAGCACCTCCACCACACCGACAATGAAGGGTCTGATCCCTGCTGAAGCGTTCGTGCTCCCAGCTTGAAATCCTGCTCTGCGTCAGCCTGCCAAATTGGCCAATGGCAGACTGGCACAGAGAGCTGGGCTCTCCGGGAGCGGGCTAGAGAGAACAATCAGGCTTCCCTCAGGTCCGCTCCCGGGGGATTTAAAGCAGCCCACACCGGCCCCCGACACCCAGCTCTTCTTCGTTGGATCAACCCACCACTCACTCTAGTAATTTTGCATTTACTCATTGAATTGACCTTCCTACGGCTGCGGTGGCTGTTGTGGCTGGGTAGGAATTTGCCTCTCAGGAGAACTGGCTATGACCTTGGAGGTTTCGCCTACCTCGTAGCAATCACCACAACTTCGGCAGTTTAGGCACTGAGTGACCTTGGTCTTGATTGGAGGGGGGTTGTACCCCCGCTTTCCCCTCCAGAAACAGGGTATCCCATTAAAGGGATCCGTGATGGAGTTGCTTCTGTTCATTTGCCCAGACGGTGGGCTTGGGCCTCAGTGCTCCTAGAGGCAGAGATCCCTGCAGGGATCCCCCCATTTGATGTAAGTCATAGGAATCCCTGCTGCCGGATTGACCCTGATATCATTTCCCGTAGGCAGCTCAGAAATTAAAATGCTTACTCAATGTCTATGCCAAACCACTTCCTCTGTAGTCAATAAAGTTGTGGCCTGATTTGATCCCGTTCAAATGTGTGGTGCCTTTTATTGGTAGCTCAACTGAGCGGAGGAGTGGGAAGTGTGCGGCCTGGGCCTGCAATGGGTGCCACTGAACTGCCCCAGTTAGCAAATACTAATATGGGGAATGTTTTAGAATGTGTTAAGTGTCCTGGCATTGGAACCGTCAGCACCTGGATTAATATGCCTTTTCTTCTGTGGTTAACAAATATGCAGGGCCTCATGCCATTTCCCAGCTTCCTATCCATTCACTTAGCAGATGGGAGTCAAATATCTACAGAGGCAGGAAATTACAGTTACCTGATCTTGTTTGACAATGAAGGTGACATCTTCTCCAGGCTTAACAGCAAGGCTCTCCCCTTTGATGCTTATCTGCAGTCCTCTGGGAGCAGTCAGAGGGCACAGATGCTGAGATACGTTTTGCTGCAAATCCACACCACCCTCACATATATTAGATATAACTTTGCGATACCTGTAGAAAAAATGGAAATAGAGAGCATATCTAAGTGCACAATGGGACTGTGCACCAAACACAGCATGCATCATAACTTGGAGGGATCTGATCTCTCTCCATGGATGAGGCAGGAGGAAAACAGGAAGAGAACCAGACCAAGGTAACCAACAGCACAATCCAGAAACACAGGAAGCTGTGTTATACTGAGCCAGGCTGCTGGTCCATCTAGCTCAGTTTTGTTCAGACTAACCAGAAGTGGCTCTCCAGGGTTTCAGACAGGGGGCATTTTGACCCCTACCTGGAGATACCAGGAATTGAACCGGGGACATTTTGCAGGCAAAGCACTGAGCTATATCTCTATTTGGAAGTTATTCCCACCAAGGTCAATGGGACTTGCTTCCAGATAAAGCCACATCCACACCGTGCATTCAAAGCAATAAGATACCCCTTCAAACTGTCATGGCTTCACCCAAAGAATCCTGGGAACTGTAGTTTGTTAAGGGTGCTGAGAGTCTTAGGAGACCCCTATTCTCTTCCCAAAGCCACAACTCTCAGAGTTCCCTGAGAAAAAGGCTTGTCTGTTAAACCAAACTGGGAATGGCTAACAGCAACCTTTCAATATCCATTTAGAAAAGCAATGGATTAACTGAAGGAAGGAAGGAAGCTATGGGGCTGCTTTCCACAGCAGAACACTCCCCAAGTACTTACCCTGTGCTGCTTCTGTAGGCCTGCCCTAAGACACAGTCTTCAGGAGGAGTTTCAGGGTTGAACCAAAAGTCAGCAAAGCACGTGTTTGGCTCAGATTTTTGCAGCGCTGAACGCTCAAACCCATAATCACTACAGAACAACAAACAGGCATTAATCATGAAGTTGACTTGTCTTTACTATTAATTTGTGAAGTGTTGTTTGTAGTGTACGTGGCCTGGGGAATACAAGTACACAACTGGCATCTTTTGTAGCCATTGGGAGGGCACCTCATGCCAAGTGTGTGAGGGCCAGCCAGCCCCCACCCCAGGGTCTCTTGTATGGCAGGAGCCTACTGAGCCCTGCAACCGGAATGCAGCCACAGGGCCCAGTGCAAACAAACTGCCTATCACCTGCAAGCTCCTTCCCAAACCCAAGTATGCAGCGTGGTGAGTAAAAAGGCTGTGGAAAGAATGTGTGCAATGCCTCTTTCCACTAGCGTGGGCTGGCCCTTCAGCACTCCATGCAGGAACAACCTTTATATAAGGGCTGGTCCAGACCTGGGCAGTAGGATTCTGGTCAGGGCTGAGCCACAGTGTCCTGGGTTTCTCCCTAGTTTTTGTGGACTAAGTGCAGGTGCCACCAGCTTGATCATTTGTGCTTGTAAAAGGACCATTGGTCTCAGCTGAAATATGGATTTAGTGAGTTTCAGGCCATCACATGAGCTGTGATAGCCACCCTGCATCCAAGGCGGGAAATAAATAAATAAATAAATAAATAAATAAATAAATAAATAAATAATAAATAAATAAATAATTTATTATTTATACCCTGCCCATCTGGCTGAGTTTCCCCAGCCACTCTGGGCGGCTCCCAATCAAGTGTTAAAAACAGTACAGAACATTAAAAAATGTTCAGAGCTGAGTATGTAGCTACTTCCTGTCCTCACTCAGTCCATTTTCTGACTGACACAGGACCAGAGCAGCTAGCAGCCAAACACAACCCAATCCTTTTCAACAAGCCTTTAAAGTGTTGTCCGTTATCCTGGCCTGTATCTGTATTGGGTTTTAACTGTTCTTACATATGAAATTTGTTTCCAGTTGTTTGCTGTGGAATCACTGTGAAATTCATAAATGGAATCAAACAAACAAGCCCAACAGCCCATCTGTGGGTGGCTGGGGGGCACCAGAAATTGCTTGGGGTTGTGACTGAGGCACTGCCTTTCCAGTCAAGTCCTCACAGTTACGAAATGATGTTACAAGGATACTCCTGCAGGTTCAATAACTGCTCAACTTTTGGTGGGCAATGAACACATTATGCGCGAAGGCCTTGGGAGGGAAGTTACTGCTGCTGCTGTATGTACTTCAAAATTGTACATATTTATACTTTATTTTCAAATGCCCTATATTGTTTTCAAAATCTCTCTGTAAGGTACCATGGGGTCCTTTGGAACTGAAAGGTGGGGTATGAAGTCTTCTAAGTAACTCTGACAAATGCATAGGTGGGGTAGAACAGCTGGAGATATGAAGTGTTGACCATTACTACTACTACCCCCACCACATCCTCAAAGGAAAGCTAGAAATAATTTTCTCTTTCTAACCAGTGCATAACTACCACTTCTGTTAAATATTAGGGTTTTCAATAAGATTAATACAGAATATGTAGCTAAGCCATCACAAAGACATATAGAAAAGCTCACCATAAGAAATCAGAAGGGCTGCACTCACAAGCTACGGAAGTGAGTGCTGATGTGAAGCTTCTTCCTTTAATGCACCATGAGGAACTCTTCCTCTTCCGAAAACTTCTCCGCTGACCCATGATGCAGAGGTCGCCCTGAACATTAGAATGTGAACTCTCATAACTACCAGATAGCAATTAAACATACAAAGGTTGTTTGTTTGTTTGTTTGTTTGTTATTTACCTACCGCCCTTCATCCAAGGATCACAGAAAGGTTTACAGTATAAAAAACTAAAATACATAGCATAATAACAACGAAAACAATGAAAACACCCACACACATTCAGTTTAAAAGGACATAGATTGTTTACTTAACCGAAGGCCTGGGAGAAGGCCTGGTGCCTAAAGAAGGTTCCCTGAGGAGAGCATTCCACAAACGGGGAGCCACCACAGAAAAGGCCCGCTCTCACGTTATCACCCTCCGGATTTCAGGCTTTATAAGTCAAAACCAGCAATCTGAATTGGCCTACAGGGCTTTTAATAATGCAGACTCTCTCACCTTAGCTAACAGCTAGCCAATTCTCTTTAGCACTTAAAAAAAAAGATTTTTAAATGTTTGACATTAGTAGAGGTAATATTTGATTTATACTAATCAATGTTGGTGACTCCTTAATGGCCAGCTATCAACCTGAATTTTTGTCAGGCTGCTGCCAGTGACCTCTGGCTGGTTGCGCAGGAATGTACAAAGACATGGAAATGTTTCTTACCGTTTGCTTTCAGTATTTACAGAGAGAGGCTATAGAACCCAGCCTCTTGGATAATGGCGCTGTCCCAAGTGAATCTCCACCCCTGTCTCCCCCACTTTCTCATTCGTCATTTGCATCATCTCTCCTACGGGTGCTGACAAGTGCCTTCTGTCTTTGAGCTCTTTGCTCTTCTACTTTCAAGTCTTGCCGGGTTCTGGGAGATGGAGTGTCTGGGATGCTTTCTAAAGACACTGTGTCCATCAGTTGCCCCCCCCATGCTTCCTCCTCCTCCTCCTCTTCTCCCATTATTTCCCAACTTTCGCCCTCATTGCCTCTGAGCTGTGACCTCCCTTAAACCCTTGTTGTAAATCTAAACTGTCTTCCTCTTCCTCCTCCCTGGAAGGGTCAAGCTGGGGAGGCGGTCTCCACCATTCCTCCTCTGCCCAGTCCCTGACAATTTCTGGGAATAAACAAGACATAGATTTAGAAACCCAAATAACATCCAAGGGTAGGGAAGATTTTTCCCACAGGCTGGGTGTGGCTTATGAGGCTTCCCCATCTGGACTGCAACCTCCCCTCCCCACAGTACAGTAATTAGGCTTGAGAAAAAGTATCTTACTGGAACCAACAAGTGGCTTTTAAAGTCTAATTACTCTAGGGGTCTGTCTAATTACTGTGGCAAGCTGGCTTTGTTTGAGGGGGGCACAGATAGGGAGGAAATGGTTAATGTGTGCTGTGACCCCTGTGGAAAATTTCCCCACAACACAATTAGGCATGAAAAAACTTCCTATTGAATCCTAGGCATGTCTACTCAGAAGTAAAGGCTGAGTTTAATGGTACTTACTCCTTAAAGTGCAGTGCAGGACTGCCGCCTTAGTGTTAAATACATGAGCTGTTTTGAACCTTGGCATCAAATGTTCCCTACTTCCCTTCCTCTACAAGAGGAGGAAATTAAAAAGTTTTCAATTGGTGTTTATAACAAACTGCAGTTAGTTAGTTTGTCTGAAATTAGAAAACTGTAGTTTTTACAGATCATAGTTAGTTAAGAAACCAATATATTAAACCAGGATGACATCATGACTTATTAAATAACTATGGTTTGTGCAAACCACCACAGTTTTCTGTAATTACATGAAACAGGCAACTGCAGCTTGTTATATCTAGACCATGAATGGAAGCTTTACATATCCACCCTTTACAAACAAGAGTGGGAGGCAGGAGAGGAGAGGCACAGAAGGGTTCACTCTGGTTTGTACATGTAACACTGAATCAGACCAGTGTCACCAGTTGTGGCAGAAACTATTTTATCTGAGGCTATACCTGTAGATTTGTCAGGTCCCATGATTCATAGTCCTCGTCAGTGCATTCTCGAGGAAAAGAAGGGCGGAAATCTACCTTCACTAACTCCCAATCTGAGCGGAAACTTATGTGTCCAAAGATTCTAAGAGAAAGATCAAAAGCTTCAGAATTAGATTTCAGTTAAACAGGGGATAAAATGCACGAGAGTAACACCAATCAATAAGTTCTATTTTGGTTGTTGGGTGTAAAAAGTACGTTGCATTTTCAGACTCTTTTAGTAGTCACAGTATTTTGCGTACAATTCTACATATTAGTGACAAATTGTGTCCCTATCCCTCCCTTCACAGTGCCTGGGGACAATCAGGGCTCATCTACACTTCCGCTTGCCCCACTGATGTCACCCAGGAAAGCCCATGGTTTAGCTCTGAATCAGAACAAACAACAATCAGGGTTTTGGGAAACTGCTCTTACTCATGCATTCTAGGCAGAGGACAAGCAGAAGTGTGGACGAGTCCTTGTCACTAGGGAAGATAAACAGGGGCAAGTGGTGGCCAATGTCTCCCCCTTCCCTGCGTGTATCCTTGTCATCCTCAACAGCCTTCTCTGCCCATCTCTAGGGGATCTTCAGAAGTGAGAATCTGTGTTGCCTGTGGAGGCTGATGTGATTCTTGTAACATGTAGGTGTGTGCATGAGCACACGCGCGCACACAAACAAGGAATGTCTTCTAAAGGCAACTTCCAACTTTCCCCATGCAGTTTGTGTACTGGTGCAGTAGATTCTACTCACGTCATGACTAAAGTCTCATCTCCAGGCTCACTGAGCAGGCCATCAACAAAAACGGAGATACTGGTGAAGTTATGAGTGCTCCATGTTTGGCCTTCATCGACACTAAACCTGTAAATGAAAAAAATATTGTTTCTTATTTATTGCAGGTCTCATTTATACAGAATGGTTTGAAAATAAGTACTGATCATCACCACCATTAGAAATAATTAATTAAGCCATAGGACTTTAAAAGCCCATAGTAGTTGAGTTGTGAATGTACGCAAGGATGCGTGAATGTTATACAATAGTATTTTAATTCTTAGGTGCAGATTTTGCTGAGTGATTTTATTGTACTGAACCTTTCGGAGTTTCGTCTATATGCCAATTAAGGTTTGAGACTGAATGTACTGAATCCACCCCCTAAAAGTCATGGAGGAGGAAGACAGCAATGAAGGGAGAAGGTCACAATGTGTGGATGCCTATTTTGGTTGTTATCCCAGTCAGCTAAATCTCTCCACCATTACATTTTCCTCAAACAACCATATCAGTTCTCCAAATTAGAAACTTAAAATCTTCACATTCCATTGTAGAATAGCATGTCTTGCACACTGCACCAGTAAACCAATGACTGATAAGCACCCCAGAGGAAAGAACACAGAATTTGCCATGCATAGACAAATTATGGTGGTTCAGTATGTACAGCAGTTTCTCTCTGAGTCACGACAGTTGAAGGGATTCAGCCTATAAAAAGAGATGAGAATCAACTATAGGGAATAGTGAGACCTAAGAATATGTGTTCAGTTGTGCTATGGTTGTTACTACTTATTTTAGAATAAAGTGTTTGTGATTTACTTCTGTCTTGATTCTTAGACATACATGTAAATATTTTTCCAGCATTATAACATCTACTCTGGTGACCTGCTGTGGAAGTTCAGCTTAACATATGATGAAGATGTCCATATTGTTACTTTTTTTTTTTTTTTTTTTAATTTTTTATTAGAAAAAGATTACAAAAAGATTACAATTCAAATGCCATATACATGCATACGTGCATTTAAAAAAGATGAGAAAAACAACAAGAAGAAAGAAGAAGAAACAAATTACAGATATTCCTATCCTATACCGAACAGGAATAAGGGAAGAGAACAAAGAAATAAAGAAAGAAGAAGAAACAGAGAAAAAGAAAAAAAGAAAAAAGAAACAGACTTCCGTTCATCTTGGTATGGAATAACAAAAACATCAGATAATCTTTGCAGTAGTACTCATATTGATATTATACATCGAGGGTGTTAGTTATCTTCTGCTGTAATATTCTTAACGCCAATGTTATTTTTAACATACAATAAAAAATTCTTCCATTCATCTTTATGTTTCATATTGTTATTTTGCCTTATTTTCTGTGTTAGTCTCGCTAATTCTATATATTCATATAGTTTCACTTGCCATTCTCCGATTGAGGGAATATCAGAGGATTTCCATTTTTGTGCAAGTAAAATTCTCGCTGCACCTATCGCATATTGGAAGAAGGTTTGATCTGATTTTTTTATTTCCGCATCAATCATACCCAGGAGAAACAGCTCGGGTTTTTTGGGGAAGTTATACTTTAAAATTTTTTTCAGTTCCTCATGAATCTTTCCCCAGAATTCCTTTACCGCCTCACAGGTCCACCAGATGTGGAAAAAAGTCCCGATCTTATCTTTACATCTCCAGCAATTATTGTCAACAGTCTTATACATTTTACCTAGCTTTGCTGGGGTCAGGTACCAGCGGTACATCATCTTCTCAAGGTTTTCTCTAAGGGTTACACACGCTGTAAATTTCATACCCTTCCTCCAGAGTGTTCGCCATTTGCTATAATCAATATTATACCCTAGATCACTATTCCACTTTACCATCACGCCCTTCACCTCGTCCTCCCTTGTATCCCATTCTAGCAGTTGTTTATATAATTTAGAGAGGTGTTTGTCATTACTCTCTAGAATTTCTACCTGAAATCTTGATTTTTTATCCCTCATCCCCTGCTTCTTGTGCTCACCCCACAGTGCATTAATTTGATGAAAGAGTAGCCATTCTCTTATCTTATCTTTCAGCTCAACATAAGGTTTCATCTTCCATCCATCTTCAGTCTTTGTCAGCAAATCCTCATAAGTCCATCTTTCTTCCGTCATATTTGGTTTTTTTAATCTGATAATATCCACTGGGGAGAGCCACCAGGGGGTCCCATTTTCAATCAGTTTTTTATATCTGTTCCACACCGCCAATAGTGAACCTCTAATTATGTGACTCGAAAACCCTCTATGCACCTCACCTTTCCCCTGCCACAGGTAAGCGTGCCACCCAAACCTAATATCAAAACCCTCCAAATCCAATAAATCCGTATTTTTGAGGGTGGCCCATTCCCTTAACCAACTTAAACAGGCTGCCTCGTGATATAACCTTAAGTTCGGTACCGCAAAACCCCCTCTCTCTTTCGCATCGGTCAGATATTTAAACTTTATCCTGGCTCTCTTCCCCTGCCAGATAAATTTAGACATCGTTTTTTGCCAGTTCTTAAAACGAGTGCCTCCCTTAATTATTGGGATATTTTGAAACAGGAACAATAACCTTGGGAGGATACACATTTTGATCGCCGCCATCCTCCCCGTCCAAGAGAGTTTCAGCCTCTGCCATGTTTCCAAATCCTTTTTAATTTCTTGCCAAATCTTATCGTAATTATCTTCAATTAAATTTATATTTTTTGGGGACAGCCAAATTCCCAGGTATTTTACCTTATTCACAATTTTAATACCCGTCCTTTGTTCCAATTGAGTTTTATCCTCCTCTGCCAGATTCTTTGTTAAAATTTTTGTTTTCCTCTTATTTAATTTAAATCCTGACAGTCTGCCGAATTTTTCCAACATTTCTATCATCTTACATGCGCTATCCAGTGGCTCTTCCAAAGATAGGACTAAATCATCGGCGTATGCCTTTAGCTTGAATTCTTTCCTTCCAATCCTGATCCCCTTCACCTCTACTGCCTCTCTTATTCTGTTTGCAATAACTTCCAAGACCGTTATAAATAACAAGGGGGACAGAGGGCAACCCTGTCGGGTTCCTTTCTTAATCTTAAATGGTTTGGTCAAGTTGTTATTTATGATCAGCATAGCCTGTTGTTCCGAATATATTGCTTTAATACCTTTCAGATAAGGGCCCTCGATACCTGCCTTTTTCAGACATAGTAATAGGAATTCCCAAGAAACATTATCAAACGCCTTCTCGGCGTCTATAAAGATCAGGGCGGCTGGGGTATCTATCCTTGTATCTAAGTATTCGATAATGTTTAATATATGACGGACATTATCTTTCTGATAACGGTTAGGGAGGAATCCCACTTGATCTCTATGTATATATTTCATTAATAGCTTCTTTAATCTACTGGCCATTATATCGGCAAAGATCTTGTAATCGTTATTAAGCAGCGAGATTGGCCTGTAATTTTTTATATCTGTTTTCTCTGTTTCTGATTTAGGCACCAGAGTTATATATGCCTCCTTCCAGGAGCCCGGAATTTTCCCTCCCTGGAGGATGTCCATATTGTTACAAAAGTCAGGTGCCTGCCCCTCTCTCTGTGTTCCTTTGGAAAACAGAAGACATGGCGGAGACTGCTGTGCTTTAAGAAATATGTTTTTTCCACCTATTTACACCATCAGTCTGCATGGAGGAAGTCCAGATCTCACAGCATGACCCGCAGCAGTGCAGGCAACCTTTCGTCTCCTTCTTCAAGATGGATCTCCACAATCCTTCCTCCTTCTCTCTCCCAGCAACCCCTTGCTTGAAAACTTCATTTTCCTGTCCCCTCAAACATGCACCCCACCAACATCTCACCCCCACAGGCTAAAGGATTCCTTTCCTCAATGGCCCATCAACACTTTTTGTCATGTTAGGTTTGTTCTTCACTAAGCCAGCCAGGTTGCATAAGCCAACCAAGAAATTCCTTTGCAACTTGTATTCTCCTTTCATATCACAAATAACCAAAACCCTAGCATTTGTTAATTTACCTTACATCTATAACACCATTCAGAGTGCCAGGCATGGACGTCAACAACAAAGATACAGGCTGCTCTAGACAGATGTCTATGGAAGGATTACACTATAAGCTGCAATTTAAAAGTAAACCAACATGGTGGGTTTTATATTAGTCCAGAGTCTGCAAATTTTCTCATATATGTGCTTATCCACACTTACCTTTTGCTCTGTTCTTTCCAGGCACAGGTCTGCATTTAAAAGCTCCATGTTCAAATGTGGTTTTTTCTTGCCTCTAAGCTTTCCCCACAAAAACCCACACTTTAGTGCTTAACCAGAGCAAACATCAATTCGGGTTTTTTGCAGACTGCTGTTTGCTCTGATTGAGCTTTAAAGAGCAGATTTTCACATGGACTGTGCCTGGAGAGAGCAGAGGAAAGGTAAGTGTGGATAAGCTCTATATTTTTCCAAGTCCTATAGTATTCTGGAGAATCCCAGGTTTATGCACCGGCCTAAGCTGCAGGAGGGTGGGGGGAACCCCACCCACAGTTTAAGGGCCTTGCTAGACAGGACACTAAACTTGACGGTATGTTGTTTAAAAAACATCAATTAAGGGTAGGTGTGGGAGCCGTTTTCATTGGGACTGTGGCTTGGGGAGAGGGTCTAACTGAACAGTGTAGACAGAAACTGTACCATCTCACATACCACTCTCCACAGCTGCTGATAAGTCCAGAGAGAGAAACTTCTATTAAGGCGAAAGGGAGTTTTCCTCATGGAACTAACAACTGCTACAGGGGAGAGAGATTTTCATTGTGATACAGTTCTGATGAAAATCACACTGTGCACCTGTTATTGTTTTTTTGAAAGATGCAGCAGCAAGTGATTTAGTGCAATGTCTCTTTTGGCTCCAAGTGTGTACTCAGACCTTGCATTCTCTAGTATCTCTCAGTAGATTCTCTTTCATCCCCACCTTTAAAAAACAGAATTCATGAAGAATTAGTACGTTCTGGAATCCTGCCTAACTCAAAAGCTTGGTGTAGGGCTCTACACTAAATATAGAAGCACAGGGCTGCAAAGGAGTCTCCAGTGCTCATCCAAACCTGCAGCCTATTCCAAGGTCCCCCATGCGCCAACCCTATGCAGGTTGACCCAGGCAATCCAGTCCAGGATGAAACAAAGTTTTCTCACGCCACACCAGACACAAACATATAACTCAAGGAATAATTAATTTTAAAAAATTTGAATGACTCAAGGAAATATTGCCAGCAACGCAAGAAAACAAAGCAAGCACTGCACAGAAACATGACTTAGCTGCTTTAACTTGGGGAACAGTCCTTCACAGTCTTAACCCCTACCCACTGTAACACTATTCAGGTGATCCTCATATTTATAGAAGGGGAGTAGGATGGTAGTGATGTTCCACCCCTCAGCACCTCAACTTCACAATACGGTCTGTTCAGCATGCATGTATGTTTGTACATGTGGCTGGGTGTCCTACAAAAAGTGTGATGATCATCTTAGTGAGTAGAGTTCATATCTTACCTAAAGGAGGTTTCACTGGGATCAAAGCAGTGCCCATTCAGCATCCTGCCTCTGTCTGCAACAGACTCTGATAACCCAGAGGAAGCAAGCTCAACAAACAGCCTGCCCCATCTATGAATGATCTTTGTATCATTCAGAGAGGTCCGGTGTTTGTTACTGTATCAATATAACCAAACCATCATCTTTGCAGAGCAAATATTAGATTAGTAAATTCTTGGAGGGAAAAACTCATATCAACCAATGGAATAGACTTGTTCCTGAAAATGGAAGTTTACTGTAGAATTACTTGAGTATTTTCAGTGGAATAGAGGTGTCTTTGATGGCCACAATCACTCCACCATGATCCAGATACAAGATGTGATGCTCCTCTTCAAAGACCTAGAAAGCAGGCGGGAAACCCAATAAATGACCATGCTTTGGGCTGGGGTGGGGAATGTATTACTAAAGTATCCCATGCTATGTATTTAATTATTAACAAATGTGTTGACCAGTCCTTAAAACACTGAAATGCTTACACATTTCCTTGAACTGACTGTATATTGTGCTAGACTTGTTTAAATACATAAGAAATATTTGAATATATGGGGTGGAATTCTGTGTCTATGGTGCTTATTCCATCAGAGCAAGCATTCTATTCAGAACAATCTCCCCTATTGTTCCCCAGCTCGCAGCTCTGTGAGGCTCTCCCAATCTTTCAGAGCAGATTGAGGTAGGGTGAATTGCATGAGGCAAATGTTTGCACTGGTCACTTTATATTCCAACTTTACCAGAAGCAACCCCCCAAGGAAGAGTGGATGGGATAGCAGTATTAGTCTGACTAGGGGAGCTCTACAGCAATAATATGAGAAGAGACGCCTGAGCCAGTAAGGAAATGGAGATAGCAATCTACACACGAACACTACATAACAGATTCATTTTCCTTACTTGTCTCCAGGTTTTGCCACAGTCAGATGTTATATACATTTCCTCTTTATATTCAACAAGCTGGGCACCCAGATTGCCTGGGAACAAAGGCAAAATAGGCAAGGGTTACTCGTGGTTATTTGTTCCAAAACACAAGAACCCACCTACCCCACAAGCAAGGGGCTTTCATCTTATGATGAGAATTAGCCTCACAAAAGCTGTGAAAGGCTGTCTATGTCTTCCAGGTTCCCAACAGCAACCCCAACACCCAATAATGAGTCAGGCAGTTCTGAAGAATTACATTTAAAGACTTTACAATTACCAGACCATTTAACTGCATGACTGAAATGGAATGACTAGTGGTCCAAGTTCTGTCTCAAAGCAGAATATCTTATTTCCTCTGCCAGGGGCTTGCTCAACTTTGGCTGCAGAGAGCTGCCCTTATTCTCTCTCATGTTAAAGTAATCCCTTCTTGGCATAGCCTCAATGCTAAGTTGCATTAACTATTCCCTCTCCTCGTATGAGAGCCTCTTAAAAATTTGCATATGTCATTTTAACAGCAATAGCAATAATAATATTTATACCCCGCCCATCTGGCTGGGTTGCCCCAGAAACTGGGTGGCTCCCAACACATAAAAAATCATTTTAATCATTTATGTTGATTAAGCATGCCCGGTTCCACATATATGCATATTCCACACTGTTACACCCCATACACTGGCTGATGTAGAGAAGTACTTTATGAGAACATAAGAACATAAAAATAGCCTGCTGGATTACTCTCTCTCCTCCAGTGGTTTCCACCCACTGTTAACTGTGGATAGCCATCCTAGCTAGTAGCTATTGATAGCCCCCTCCTCCATGAATTTGTCTGCCATGGGCCAAGAGTCTGCTTCACCTGCTGAGCAGCAGCCTGAAGGAACGGAAACACAGAGAGGGACTGTGTCTCTACTGTGGAGGCTGGGGACATTCATCGTTCCTGACCAGACCTTGCTGCTTCTTACTTCTCGTGACCTCGGCTTTCTTGACTCCCAGACCATCTGACTATGTGATACTCCTGACCTTAGGACTGGACTGGACCTTGTATACAGACTCTGCCTTCAGGCAAGGACCCCACTGAGACTTGGCTGGTTGGTTGGCTTCTCCCTCCACTAAGCTCTGCCGTGGCTGGAAGCCCAGGACCACGGCAGCCTAATTCTCTTTCAAAGCCATCTAGGTTGGTGGCTGTCACTGCCTCTGGGGGAGCAAGATCTGAAGTTTGACTATGCCCTATGCAAGGAAGTACTTTCTTTTACCTGTCCTAAATCTTCCAACATTCAGCTTCACTGGATGTCTGTGAGTTCTGGTGTTAGGCAATGCATAATTTTATAAACTTGTACCATGTCACCTCTTACTTGCCCTTTCTCTCAACTAACAAGTCCCAAGCACTGCAACCCTTCTTCATAGGGGAGTTGCTCCACCCCCTTGATCACTTCGTTGCTGTTTTGTTGTTGTTGTTTTACTGATACTTTTAAAATATTTCTTGTAAATCATTTAGAGGTTTCATTTCAATCAACATTTTGTTAAATAAAATAATTGCATAATGAAAATAGGGCCACAGTGTTCAGGCTCAGCATGGAAGACGAAGGGCTGCCAGAATTAGTTATCAAATATGCTAAGCCCCTCCCAAACACAGCACCCCAATCCTGGAATGCACTCTACAAATTCACCCCAATTTTTTTATGGAACATAGCAGGATGCAATTCTGATTAAACTGAATAAACTTGCCTAGGACTGGGCTGTGTGGCAACTTTGTATAAAACCACACTCACCACTATTAATTGCTATATTTAATCTAGTTTAATGAGCTTTTTTGTTATTTCCTCTGGGACCTTTCCAGGAATAGAAATTTCCTTAGTCATCCTTTTTCTATTTGCAACTAATGCAAGTGATGTGCATTTCTTACAGAGGTGCCCTTTTAAAAAAAATACTGAACTTTCATTTCATTATTTCCCTTAATTTTAGTTTTCAGATGGCAAGAGAGTTTTACTTTGGTCCTTCTGGGGGTTACCATTCCCCCATCTCCCCCCCCCCCAGAGATGCTGTGTTATTTAAAATAGCAGACAACATTTTTTCCCTGGAATGCCCCAAGACAATGTAAAATTCAGAGCATTTCTTAAGGGTGAGGGAGAATATTAGGATGGGTCTCTGAGGTTAGCTCACGGCCACTATTGCCACTCCTGAAAGTAAGCCCCCAACTCTGAATGGTACCAATTAAGAGCAAATAGATACAAATGTGAGAAACAAGAACCATTTTCATTCACATTCTTTTGATACTCTGTGTATTCTTTTTGAACGAATTAAAATTGAACTGAATGAATCCCATTTGATTTAACTGTTAATTCATTCTGAAAAGAATGCCCAGCCTTATTAAGATCAAGGACAAAATTAGTTTTTCTCCAGTCTTCTAGGAGGAAACTGGTTTCCCAGGAGTTCTGCTATGACAGCAAAGAAACTGGGAAAGCTCACCCGGCCTGGACACTTGCTAGGTCCTGCTCATCTGAATTAATTTGGGATTAGCAATGTATCCATGAGCATGCTTTTGGTTGGCCTCATCATTGTTTGGATCAACGTGGCTAAGTATCATGTCGCAACTTTCCTTCTTTGTGAAGTCAGAAGTTGAGCAGTCTCAGTAATTCAGGCTTGCCCCGAGTCTCTTCTTCTGCTGAACAATGGCCCCACTGTATCGCGTTGGCTTCCGCCTGTTTCTAACAACCCATCCTCTGCCTTTACTTTCCGATTCTGTTCTGGCAAGCCTGTGCTACATCAGTGTCTACTTCCTTGAAATTTATTCTATAGACAGTAAGTCTTTACAAACAAACAGTAAGTTTTCTTATAATTATGAAGATCCCTATGCGGCCAGTTTAGTTTTCTGCCATTCTTTCCCCTCACTAGTGTGTGTCGCTGGTATCACACTTCAAAAACGAAGCACTTCATTCCACAGGGGTTTACTTTTTTTCGGTGCTCGTAAAAATCCACTTTCTGAGATACAATTCAATATATTTTTGCTGTTTCATCTTCTGTCTTGATGCCTATGTTGACTGTCTCCTCCAAAGTGACTTCCTATTGGTCAAACCCAGAACTTTAATTGCACAGCCCCTGGCTGTCTCTTCTGACTACCAGAGAACAGAAGGCTTTTTGCAGTGTGTATATAGGCGGCTGCCTCTCTCTCGACGCCTTCAAAAGTAACTTTCCAGATATGAGAGACACTCCATTTCACTTCAGTAGTAAGAACTACATTTTAAATTCTAGTTTGCTCCTCAAACTGGTATAAAACAACACATATGACTAACAGGAAGCCACTAGTTGTCTCTTGCTGGGCTGCACAATTTACTACAAGCATCAACACAAAAGTTGATGTTTTCTGATCAGTCGCTGAGCTTGCATCTTCATCCTACACGTCGACAGTGGTCCTACACTTATTGTGTTCTGGCCTTGATCACACACATGCCTCTAAGTTTTGTAATGCCAGGAACATGAAAAAACACTGAAAGCCAGTCCAAGAAGCAAAAGACAAATGCATGCAAAATTCTCCAGTTGCAGGACCTTCCCTTCTATGTGCCATGAGGTCAGGTGAGGGAGGGCTTGAGCCAAAGGTCTGTTCCCAATATCCCTGCAGTGAGGGTGGAAGTAAGGCCTGCAGTGAGGGTGGAAGTAAGGCCTCAACTGGTTCTAAGAATTATTTTGTGCAAAATCTGAGGAGAGAATGAGGTGCTAGAATTCTGCACTATACTGCTCCAGACTACTTTAAATGCTCCCATAGAAGAAACTCAGGCATATTAAAGAGAGGGCTATGCCTTCTGATATGCTAGCTTTTGATACACCTACTTAAAAGAAAAGTAATTAATTTGGGTCCGGGAGCATTCAAAAAGATTATTACTCTCACCTGCTGTATAAAGTGATTATACTCATTCTGCATTAAAATGCTATATGTGATGCTCTGTGGAACACCCTCCTATCAGATGTCAAGGAAATGAACAACTACCTGACTTTTAGAAGACATCTGAAGGCAGTGCTCAGAGAGGCTGGGGGAATGCAGTCAGATGGGTGGTTATATATAATAAAAAATAAAATTATCATCATCATCATCATCATCATCGGGGAAAGAGCTCATCCACACTTCTATTTGACCCGTGCCTAGAAAGCAAGGGTCCCAGTGGTTTTCCCCTTGCCCTGCTCCTTTCCAAAGTAATACCTGCTCTTTAGCAAAAGATCTGAACAAATGGCAATCCAGGGAAAACCTGAAGTGCTGTTTGCTCCAACTGAACACTAAAGAGTGGTTTTCCCTAGGGGAAAGCAGCAGGAGAAGAGGAAGTGTAGATAAGTCCAGGGTTCCCTGTGACCTCAAAAGGGCTTTGCCTTTTGCGTCTTGTTTTTAAATTGTAGGCTAACTTGTTTCTTTTTTTCCTTTCCCTTTTAATTCATACAGTGCAGCTTTCAAAGTAATTAATAATGAACAGATTTGCATTCAATATTCATTCATTTAAATTTTTTGACTGAGAGGGAGGATTGGAAAAATTATGTGGAAAACACTTCCATCGTGGGAATATAATTTTTAATCCTGTTTGGCGTTGCTGGTGTTCCCTGTTTTTCTCCAGGTGGTTGCTACAGTCTCTTTCCTGGTTTAGTCACATGTGTGATCCAACCTAAGCATGACCAAGTTGACATCACTACACTACAGAACATAGCCAATAATATTTGGCAATGTGCTATCACTGAAGGGAAATGAAGTCAACTGAGAGAGAGGGCAAGAAAAAGGTCGTGCACTGAATAGGCAAATATTTTTTCCCAGTGGCTCTGATGATTCTGATGTTGCATCAATGGCGCTTTTGGTTCACCCCCTGCAAGCAACACTACAGTGGCAGGGCCTTGGGAAAGTGTCTGCAATCAGTTACTCCAGGCGTGGAGCACTAAGGGAAAGAGCCAGGTTGTTTGTTCAGACAGAGCTGAATCACCTTACACCAAGCCAGGGCAGAAGAAACTTATCATGGATAAATTTATCATGGCAAAAAGCATTTGCATGTACTTGGTTAATTATGTTCCACGATATCTCAGTCTGTCTTCAAACTTCAGTTAATTCATACATGAACTACAGTAGTGAAGAGGAGGAACAGACAGATTCAGTCCTTCACCCCCAGCTTCTGCCTCCCACCCCGCTTTCACCCCACTGTCCCATCTCCCCTTCTGCTCATGGGATTGTTTCTCTTGCTCCCACTGGATGTTCTGCACTCAGGGCAAGAGTGCAAGGGCTGTGGGTCTGTGAACTGCACAGCGTCATGTGGCTTCCCCCTGGGCTCTCTCTCTCCTCCTGGGTGCAGTGCGCTTGGTGCTCAACTTGCCTGGAGAAAGAGGGGAACACAACACTCCACACAGCACCCAGTGGCTCCCACCTTCCTCCTACCAAGTGCTTGTTGCTGCCACTGCCTCTTCTTTCCCTTGTCAGGAATAAAAAGAATTAGATACACTGCATTTTCCTCTCCACCGAGGGTGTGGCATCTGTGGTGATGGCATCAACAGGTACAGCAAGGTAAAAGCAAGACAGAGGAGAGAGCCCCATCCTTGGTCATTTCTGTGCTGCTTTATTCTTCAAGCACAATGAAAATAATCAGGCACACATGAAGTAAGTTAACTGCTTTATATGAATAGATAATATGCAATGGAGAATTGGTTAAATGTCATATAATATTATGTAACTTTTTGATCAATGAACACCAAACACAAAGTGCACTCTCTTTTTTTACCTGCCCCCATTATGAGTCCTGGTGCTGTATCCTTGGTATGAACCATTCCTGACACATATGGATTGTCTGGCCAGCGGAGATGGAGGTGAAGGTGGCAATCAGGCTATAAAGATAACAAAGAAAAGTCTTTGTTTTTAGCAGAATGGCAGGAATGCCTCTAATTTTTGAAACAGCCACACACTATGGGTAAATGGTATGTAATGACAGCTCTCTCTGGAGAGACAAGGGTAATTATTTCATGAAGACACACTATTAGTACAGCTACTATTTCTGCTTTGACTACTGCTCCTGTGCTGATGTAATGTGCATTAATGCCAACAGCACAGTGAAGCAGACCCTGTACTGAGATATTACCCTATTGTATCTCTAAGAGCATTAGCACTGTTAGATTTTGGTGGTCTTTGAAAAAGTCACCCATCCTTTGCTTAATCAGATTGAAATTGTAGCAGGAAAAAACATCAAGACACAATCAACTAACTAACCAGCAAAAATGTGTTGTCACAGGGATGTTTTACATAGTCACCATAGTCACTTTGAGAAATATATTTTAAAGAGAATTCTCCTAGTTCAGGGTAATTCCATTTATACTTCTTTCTGCACTGGAATAAGACATATCTCCCATATATATCAGACAACCCCGTGGTTTTCTACTGTATCTAATTTCTTCCTCCAGGCTTGGAAGTGATTGTGATTATTACAAGTAAATAAAGAAGATTCATTGCAAAATCAAAAGTAATATCCCTGTTACTCACACCCTTCTGCTTCCAAAAAAATAAAAATAAAATGCAAGGTTAACCAACCACATTTTTCCAAAGATGATAATTTGTGGTCATCAGTTGTAAACTATGCTTATTCTTATTCACAATTTATTTATCATTGATATTTCTATCCTGCTCTTCACCCTAAGGGTGCAGCAACAGAAATAAAAAACAATAATAATCAAAATCTGTAATAGAAACAATGCATTTCCAAAAGAAAGACCCACAGTAGATGATTAGAGGATCTGACAAAAAAAATACTTTCTGCATTTTTTTCAACAAAGAATCACTGTCCAAAGAATAATAATAATAATAATAATAAATTTTATTTATATCCCGCCCTCCCCAGCCTTAGCCGGGCTCAGGGCGGCTAACAACAATAAAACAGTACAAAAGTACAACATAAACAACACTCTAAAATCATTCATTCTAAAATTAATTACCCTCTCAGTCATTTACTGGAGTCTCTTCAAGCTTAGATCCGGGACTTCACAAATGTATTAAGGGAGGGGTCATCTACACTTCCGATTTTCCTGTGTCTAGAAAGTTTGGGTCCCAGCAGCTTTCCCCTTGCCCTGCTCCTTTCCCAAGGGAAACCCACTCTAAATCGGAGCAAACATCAATCCGGAGAAAACTTGTAGTTTGTTCCAGCTGAGAGCTAAAGATTGGTTTTCCCTGGGGGAAAGCAATAGGACAAAAGGAATTGTGGATGAGCCCAGATATGATCTGTCAAACTCATTTTTTCTCAGTTTCACATTTTCCCAACATTAAGTTCAGTTTTCCACATTTCTGCAGCAGTCTGTAATTTTCACAACTCTCCTAACAGACACATATCTGTATGCAATTTCTTCCAACACAGTGCATACACTATTTTCACTAATATATGCATTTATATGCACACTTTACCCCCAGTAAATATATTTTAAATGCTGTATTGTTTTAACACTTGATTGGAGGAAACCCAGCCAGATGGGCAGGGTTTAAATAAATTATTATTATTATTATTATTATTATTATTATTATTATTATTATTATTATTCACACCACTTGGCTGGAGAATGGCATTGCAAAATATCAATTGCAAAAGCGTGAATTTCAAAGGATGACTGCATTTCAATGGATTGTTTCAGAACGTGCAAATTAGGTTGGGGGGGTCAGAAGCTGCTTTAGGGTACTTCGCCCCCTTTTGGCTCCCTAACCCACAAAACAGCCGCTCACAGCCTCTCCTGGACCTGGGCTCTCTTGAGGCTGAGTTTCAAACAACTTTCTCTTTTGCCACTCTTTCTTCGCTCCTATGCTGCCCCTACCCTCCATTTCCACAAGTTCCTACTTCTTCCTATGCATTGCCTCTGTGTGTTTTAAGGTCCGTAAGCATTTTAGCATGACTCACGCTCCCTGCCTGTTCAGCATTTAGACACACACACACCCCGCCACCTCTACTGTCAATGGCAATACAGCCTGCCTTGACCTAAGGACAGGATTAATTTCCCTCCTGCTCTTACCTTTGGCCCCATCTCTCCTCAGCAACCTGCCTCTTCCCAACGCTTTTGCCCTCTCTTCCTTCCTTCCCTTCTGATTCTTGCTTTTACTTCACTACTCTCTCCCCTTGTCCTCCAGCAGTCCCATCTCGGTTCCCTAACTCCAAGTTTCTCTTTCTCCTGGTTAGACACCTCCTCAGGTTTTCCTATTCTATGTCCTCCACGCAGCTACCCCTGTTCTTGGGTGCTTCCACACTAGACATTAACTTTGGAATTGCCATGCTTCAGTCACTCACTTTTTATGGGACATCCACACAACAGTGTTATCCAATCATTGGCACCCAGTATTTTTCCTGTGCCAATTCTGTTCCTTTCTTCTGCCTTTTCTCAGACCATAGAAAGACCACCTTTTTTTTTTGAAGAATGGAAGAACAGTGCAATTCTCATTGACGTACATGCCCTTAGGACTACACTGTCTTTTTTTTTTTTTTTTAAGTATGAGATTTGAAATAGGCAGTGAGGTTTGGGGCAGATGAACACATCACAGTTCAGCACACCTTCATTATAATATATGCAGTGACTGGCATTTTATTGTCCCTTTATTTGCCTACCTTAATCAATATTTTAATCAGAGCTAGAATGCTTCTCTAGCTATACTTGTTACTTAAAGTGAAAGGGTGTTATAGCACTATAATCCTATCATTCTAATTGTTTTTAAAAATTATAGTGCTATAACATTAAGTTATAATGATATTGCACTATAGTGTTGCAACATTATAACTCTATCTATATACAGTGGTACCTCTGGTTACGGACAGGATCCGTTCCGGAGGCCTGGCCGTATCCCGAAAAGTCTGTAACCGGAGGCGTGCTTCTGCACATGCGGCAAAACCCGGAAGTATACACTTATGGGTTTGCCATTTTCGCAACCCAAAGTTTACATATCCAGAGGGATACGTAAGCAGAGGTACGGCTGTACTAATAATTCCTGTGCTTATATTTATGTAGCTAAATTGCACCAAGAGTGGCAGATTTAGGATAATCCCAAGGTACACACAAGTACAAAAAATCCAAAAGGAAAAACAGAAGGGGAGACTGCCCTAACAGCCCCATAAGATCAGGCATGATAGCAGCTGTAGTTCAGGTTCTCCAACCCTGCTCTAAGGTCTGTGTGAACCTGTTTTTCAAACAAACTGGTGTTTTGTATCAACTCAGACTGATGGAAACATTCTACAGCTGACTCCATAGATAAAATACTTATGAGTATTCCATGACATCTCTTCAGCACAAAACAGCACAAAACACAATCCCTTAATGCACAACAGTTTAGAAAAACACAGTAATCAATCCTCATATAGGGGGGGAAGTGTGGGAAATAAAGCAAAAAAAGTCCTCCTCATGCATTCTGTGATATAAGCGAGGAGAGGACCTGTGGGATCAAGCACACTAGCTCTGCCCTTCACCCCCGTCCTCATCAACCTCCAGGAACTGGAGAGCCAGTGTGGCATTGTGGTTAGAATGTCAGACTATGACCTGCAAGGGACCAGGATTCAAATCCTCACTTGTCCATGAAGCTCAATGGGTGACTTTTGGCCAGTCAGAGTTATTATTGTGGGGATTAACCAAGGAGGGGTAGAGCCATGTATGCTACCTTGAGCTCCATTGAGAAAAAAGTGGGATATAAATGTGAATGAATGAATGGTCTGAAATGGGGAGACTCCTATGCTCACAGATGCTCCCCATGCTGCATTACTCATGTAGGCTCTCCAAGAGGGGGACCAGGCGGGGTCACAGAAAGTGTGCTTGTCCTCATGAACAATATTCACATGTGGAATTTCCATTTCACCATAATGCCCTAATAGGGCTAAGATACAAAATGTGTGGCAGCTTCAGAGCTGTTATCCTTTACAATTACCATCACCACCATATGAGTATTATTATTCCCATGTTCCTGGCAGAGGGGCAAGGCTGAGAAAGAATGATGGCAAATTAATTACATATATTTACATGTATTATAAAGCCTTTACTCTGAATTGTAAGGAAGATGAAAGGATGGAGGAAAGTTGGATGGACTACTGTCAAGAGGTTGGATAGCTATCTGTCATGGATGCTTTAGCTGATATTCCTGTATTGCAGTGGGTTCGACTAGATGACCCTTGGGTCCCTTCCAACTCTGCAATTCTATGATCCTATGATTCTAAAATCATTACAATACATTTCCTATACAAGAGAGGCTGGTGCTGAAGCCCAAGTCACGGCAGCCCCCACTTCCTTCTGTTTAGTGATCAAGTTCCGCCTTTTGTCCCAAATGCCAAATCATGCCCTTTGGAGTTTTGTTTTGTTTTAAATGAAAATTAGTGAAGTAGAAACAATTCAGTCCCATATGGCCCAAATGTAAGCAGTGAATAGTAGTAATTAGTCTGGCCTAATGGCAAATACTAATGGTGAGCTGCCCAGAGTGGCTGGGAAACCCAGCCAGATGGGAGGGGTATAGATAATAAATTTATTGTTGTTGTTATTATTATTATTATTATTACTGATTCAGAACACATAAATCTTGATTTCTTTTATTTGAGACTGCTACCTTTCAGAAATCTAAGTTAATATAATATTTTAACACAGCTCTCAATGGACCTGAAAATTTGTATGTGACTGGCCATTTAAACAAAATTAATGAGGTTGCTGAGTTTAAACTTTTGCTGCTTTATGTTACAGCATGAATCCAGTTTTTTATTTTATTTATTTACATCAATTCTATGAAACAGCAATAGAAGAAGAAAAACTGCGTAGTCTCAAGGGGCGCTGAGATTATAGAAGAAAGACACATCCAAATTTCATATTCAAATTTCCTGGTCATACTATGCAAGAACAAATACTGTTTTGCTTGAAAGATATTGAATATTATTTTCTCACTCATTCTAATCAGATTTGTATATATGATCAATCAAAACTTGTTCCAATCCAGGTAAATTCCAGAGCAGGAGACTCAATCTGAACATCCAGCAGAACCACAAGGTGCAGCTCCTGCTGTACTGGGTCCCTTTCAGACGGCATCCCTGGGGGTTGAGGAATGTAACCGTGCCTAGAAAAGTTGTACGTCCAGGAGAAGAGTTCAAGGCTGGCCTTCTAGCATTTTATGTGCAGGGAATTGTCTCATGGAGGAACATTAAACTGTGAAATTCTTCATCTGGAGCTTGAAAAGGTACTAGGAAAATTGGATTGTTATGCTGAATGTTTAGGTTAATTCCTGAAAATCTGAACAAACATTTTAGGGTGGAGAAAAAACACAACACCTGTAATATATTATAACTATTTTTGCCATTATAAATTAGGGGTGGAGATGCTTACCGGTTTGCAGTCAACTGGTTTACCATTCATATCAACAGCTGGCGGTGTAAGATAGTCCCAATTACGGCCTTTGTTGAATGTTATAAGAGTGGTAACTTTTCCATCTATTTTTTGATTAGCCAAAAATACTCCTTTGACTCCCCTAATCTACATTGCAAACACAAAATGTAGGAAGGTTAATAAGCAGTATTCACAGCCTTCTCTAACATATATTTAATGGCAGTATTTTGCTACTGAGTAACAAAAAAGTGAGTATGCCAGTTGCTTATCTACATAACCATTTATTTTTATATCACTGAAAGTTCTTTAGATTAAATAATGTGAAATCCATAGTCCTGCCCTCCAATCCAAGGACCAATCTGGACATGTGGTAACTGTAGCAGATGCAGAATAAGTATTTCACATGCGTAAGACTGAATATTCCGCTAAGCCTAGGGACAAAGGATAGGTCTAGAGATCCGTCTTCTGCCTATGGCTAAACAGTGCTCAGCATATATTGGGCACTAAATTTTAGCTGTTTAAATAATGTGCAAATACCTTAAATACTTTGGGAGGCAATTATTTCCTCTTATTCTGAGAGAGTCAAATATGCACCTCAGAAATATGTAGTTCTAGTAATCAATAGTAGACTAGTTGTATACCAAATTCTGACCTCTTATCTATTTGGGGGCATTTGTCATGTCCCTTATTTTGAAAGGGGGGGTAGTACAAATGCCCAATTTTTTTTAGTAATTAAGATTCTTTGGGTTACAGACATATAAGATTTCAGATGTCTAGAAAAGATCATGCGGAAAGACACTAACAGGTCTGGTACTCTATGCATAAGGCCAATGCAAATAGAGGCTGCACACTGAACAATCCTCCCTCTGCAGGTTGGAGGAGCTCCATGAACCCCCAAAGGCGTTCTCTCTCTCTCTCTCTCTCTGCCCCCCCTCTGCCCCCCCCTCTCTCACACACACGGCCAGAGACAACAAGTTCAACCAGCACCCTCACAAAAGGGTGTATTTATGCTAACATGACTATTCCATTATAGCAAAAAGAGGAACAATCGTTCTGATTCAAAAGTAGTCAAAGGAACAAGGATCAAGGAACAAGAAGAGTCAGCAAAACGAGGGCCTAATAAATGAAGAGCCTTTTACCTCCAGAATATCTATTAGCACATTCTCCTCAGGCTGCTTGGTGCTCCTGACATTCTCTAGCACAATGGAATAGGAGACGCCCTGTGGGTCAGACTGGTAAAGGTTGTAAGTATCTGTCTGATACCATTCCTGGATGGCCACAAACACGTGGCTCTCGTCAGTGCTGATAATTTGTAAATCCTGAAGGGGAAAAGATCAATATAAAATAAAATGTATACCAGACAGGACAGCATTTACAACCAACTCACGCTTGCCAGATGCCAGAAAAAAACTATTATAATTCTCATCCCACAGACCAATCTCACATGTATTATTTGGAACAGAAAAACTGAAGGGTAGAGAATATGTAGCTTTATCTGCTAGCACATTATCTGCTATACAAAATAGATAAGACTCTGTTGTTTCCATATGATTACAAGATACAACATCTCTGAGGAAGATACATGGACTGAGGAGAACGGAAATGACAGCCTCTGCAAAGGGGGAGCTGGGATTGCTTGTGTGATTATACAGCAAGTTACCCATGTTGGATACTGAATGACTTGTCAGAAACATCATATGCATCAATCAGTGATGCAGAAGTGCTTGTGAAGCTGCAGGGAATCAGAAGTAGGTTGGGCCCCTGGCAATCCAAGTTGATGAAGGAGAAGTTTGATCTTGTACCAGTTAACATAGGCAGTGAATACTCTGAAAGGCTGGTTCCCTAAACTGTAGTGACCCCCTCTCATCAGGAAGCAAGCACCAATAAATTATGCTCCGGACAACAACTGCCTGTCCTTTATCTACTTCTTTTGGGTTGAAGTGGTAGAATAGATGGTTGCCACACACATCAGATGCCCAGTCTGAGGTCTAAACTTGTGTATGGGACTGAGATGGAATTTGTAGCTATGGTTGATGATATCTAATTCTGAGGACTGAGAAAGGCAGACTTAGCTAAGTCCATGGTCACTGTTGATCACGATAGGTTCCTGAGTTCAGTGCATCCTCTCTGGAACCTATCAGGTATCAACATCACTCACTCTCGCTTGACACAACATTGTCTAACACATCCACATACAAATAATAATGGATGCTCAATGTATAGTCTATGTTGTCAAATGTCCCTGCAGGGTGAATGTTTGATAAACAGGCTATCTGGCAGCAACCTGAGGAGGCCCTCTCTGCAGATTATATTCACTTCATCTCAGGAAGTGGGGGCCCATGGAGAAGGGCTTTCAAAGAAGATCCCAAAGCATGGACAACATGTTGATACTGAAGTAGGTGATCCTCCAGATATCTAGACCTCAAGCTCTGAGGGGACTATTACACACAGGGAGAATGTGGGGATACACTTCCCACAATTTCATATAAGGGTATTTCAGCGTTGGGCTGTGGGTGAAGTGGAACAACTATCAGTTTGGGCCAAGTAAACTACAAGCAACTCCCTGTTTGCGAGGTGGTTGTGTTATGACACACTGAGTGCTTCAATGGGGTGTATAAGTAAATAACTTTTGTACTAGTCATTGGCCACGACAAATCTGAATAAAAAAAAATATATGTAAAGGGATGCTGCACCACAAATAATAGTGTCTATTTAGATCTCTGTGTTTCCCTTGCAATTCAATGCTAATTTTGTCCAGGGTCGTCTTTCTGATCTTTTTGGCTGCCAGAGCAAAAAGGGCTACTTTGTGAGTCATTGAAACGTTTACCGGTACATTGCTAAGAAGTCATAGGATCTTCTCTGCTGGGTAGAGACATATTTCCTGTATGGGTGGTAGGGTGAGAAATTGCCTCTGGGGTCCAGTGTATAGTGGGCAGTATAGTAAATAGTGAGAGATGTCCTCCACCTGTGGTTGTCCACATATACAGAGTGTCTTCACTCTGTTGTATCGTCCATCCAGGCAGCTCAGTAAAAGATAATCTTAATGAGGCTGGCCAGAGATTTGACACGTAACTGGCTCTAAAATGGACAATTTTTAGAAGGGTGTGTGTACAAGCCCGCCCTGCCCCATTCTGCCCCCTTCCAGAGATGAAAACAAAGTACATGTCAATGATCGCACATGTGCCGAACGAATGCAACCAGGGAGCTAGCTACTTGTATTTAAACATTTGCACAGAATAATTAGTGGGAAAATCTAGCAAAGCACAGAACAAGTCTGCTTTGGGCTAAGAAAAGGGACAGGAATTTTGTGGATAATTACCTTAGGTAATGCATACTTTGGCAATTTCATCTGTACAAATTCATTCCGAAGGTGAGACACATAATAGTTTGTTTGATTTACTAATGATGTCTGTGAAAGAGAAAAGGTTGGTACCGTTTTATAGTGGGTATCATCAGTTTCTAACTATTAAAGAAACAAAGCTCATTACTGATGATTAAAACTAGAAATTTCAATGTCACTATATAGCATCTCAACATAATGCTGGTATAGTGTAGAGGTACAAATCAAGAAGCTCTCAGTTCAAATCTTGCTTCCACCATGAATTCACTTGGTGGCCTCAAAAGAGACTCTCACTCTATGAAGACAAATTCTCCTTTCCATATGAAATTTGACCTGCTGAGTAGAGAGGCAGTGACTTTTCTAAAAGTGGGGACTTGAAATGTGAATTGCTCCACTTGAAGGAGGCCTCAAATATCAGGGACTAGCTGGATGAAGAGGCGTGGTGGGAGGCACCAGCTGGGGAGTCCACTAGGGAGGCCCACTAGGGCTCTGAGAAGGAAGGCTTAGAGCCCAGAGGGTGGACAAGTCAGAGGATGAAGCGGAGCAGAAGGGTTGGAGGCTGCAGAAGCAACAGGCTTGAGTGAGAGCAAAGAAAGCAATGCAGACTCAGGACACGGAGCAGAGGAGGAGGGGCCAGAGGCTGCAGTTGCATCCACAGAGCTTGTCTTTCCTACTGTAGTAAGCTCCCGTCCCCCCCATGTCCAAGATCAAGGAGAGCTTTGCGTTTGCATAACAACGAGCACAGGTGGCCCCTCCCCAACATAGGTTAAGGCTGCTTGGGAGACATCAGCTGGTGGGGAGACGTAGTGAGAAGTAGAAGGCAAAGGCCTTCAGTCCTGGCAACTGTTTCATGGGGGCCAATCCTGTTTATGGGCATTGCTGCCTGGTATGCTGTTTTCTTGAATAAAGAGCTAACACTTCTGCTTGTCTCTGGATCTTGAGTGCTGACCTGCATCTGAACCAACCCTGACACCAGGTCAACTTGGTTCAAACCCCATCCTAGCTTGGCCTGACTCAAATTGCTACTCTACTGTGTGTGTGTGTGTGTGTGTGTGTGTGTGTGTCCCATGTCTTCCACCCTTTGTTACCTTGTCCTTAACCTGGAAAAGCCTTATTTTGGAGGGCGGCGCAACAGGCAATACAGGGACCTCTCATCAACTGCAAGTGACCCCTTGACTGAAGACCTTTTAAAAGGGGCCAAAGAAGCTGCATGTTGATGTATTAGCACTTATGCCTGTCATAGATCTTCAAAGAAACATAATGGGTTATGTGGCCATTTAAAAGATGTTCCTTGTAATAAATTTCCGTTTCGGTTCTGATGGTCCTTATCTCACGTAGGCTACAAACCGAAACTTTCTGGCCAGTAAGCCCCACGCTGTGGGAGCAAATATGCTAAGGGTTGCATTAAAACTTTTGTAACTTACCTTCCATGAATGGCATTACCTGAAGGAATATGTAGTCATCCTGCACTGTCAATGAGTTTTTGTCAATGCTATCAACGAAGAGGGCTCTCGGTGTTTTATCTGAACAGTTCTGAATTTGACAAGCCATGTAGCGAAAGCCTAGAGAGGGCAGGAAACATTTAGGTACCTTGCAAATAAATAACAGATGCACTATTTTAAACTACTAACATTCTTTTCCTGAAGCAGTTGACCTATTGTGAAAATGCACATGCCAGAAAAGGTTTGCCCAACAAATCTATCACCCAGTAGCTAGTGATATATAAATGTGGGTGGGGGTCCTCCTTCAGAAGTCAGGGATTCTAGGGGGATGGATGGGAGCCCATTAGAACTGCTTTGCTGCCTGACTTCTTTGACAGCTGCTTTTCTCCTTTTAAAGCAGTTTGCCAGTTGTGAGGCAAACTACCCATGACAATGAATCACATAACTTTAAGCTGGGTGGATCTTTTTTACAAATGCAAGTAGAAGCTGTGGTGTGTCTTCAGGACTAAAAGGGTCAGTAGACGTAAACCCTTTCCCTGCTGTGCAGACTAGAGAAACCACACACACCCATGGCTGCCATTTGCATAGGGTGGGAATCTCCCACCAGTGAAGACTTCCCTCACAATGCAAATAGCAGCCTGGTGGCCAGGGGATTTTTGCTGATCACAGCAGCTCCAGAAAGGTTAAAATTACCTCCCCAGTTGTAGTACTGAGCCTGGATTAGCATTACGTGTAGTATGGCCTACATCGCCTGGAGGTGGTTGGTACTGAGTAGCAGCAGCGGAAGGTCACTCTTCCTTTCTTGGAGCAATGGGTGAGGGGACAGTCAGCTCCTGAAGCATACTCTGCTTGAACTGGTTGTTCTAAGCACTGGTAGAAGGAAGCAACTCTTTCTCAGGTCTCCAAATAGCCCAAGAAGGACACTATCCACATATTATTTCAGCACATGAACTTGACCTTAGCTCAGCATTCACTCAAAATTAGGATTACATGTTCATTATTAAAAAGCAAGAACAGATCACCATCTTTATAGCCTTTTCAATGAAGCAGAGTATAGTGGCTTGACTTTAACTCAAAAAGAACTTCAAATTCATCCTATAGTTCTACATTACAGTAATGTAGAAACATTCCTAACACAGAGGTCTTGCACACCTCTTGGGTGCCTGGCAACGTTAGTATACTTAATGGAGCTCAGCTTTGCTGGGCTGGGCTGCTTGGTGGAAACCTCCATCAGCCTAATTCTCATTTGCGTATCCTCACTTGTAATTGTGTACAAAGAAGGCCTGCACTGTGAACTCTGTGCCTCAGACTATATATATTTGCCATGTGAGCTAGTACGTCTGCAGCCAAGGATTTGACTTATCTCATCTGAAAAGCCGCAACCATCAACGCAGGTTCACAATGACAATGACAGCTCATCCAGCCATTGCAGTAGCAAGGCAAGAGAGATAAAATGGTCCTGCTAAATACATATAAGTAAAACAAATTTATGATATATGAAAAGTGTGTTTCTAAATAAAAGAAAGCAGGAAATGGGGATCGCCTCCCCAATGCCTACCTCCTCTGGGATCTTGGACTTCCATGTGAACCAAATCAGGGTCTTCATCAACTCCATCAACTGCCCTGGGAGCATAATGAAACCAAAACTTATTGCAGGACAGCTATAGACCTTGGGTACTTACTTACTTACTTACTTACATTTATGCCCTGCCCTTCCTCCCCAAGGAGCTCAGGGCAGCAGATAAACAGAAGGATTTATATGCAACTGCTCACAACATCAAGCAAAACATAATTTTTTCTGCCTCCTGATTTTTAAGTATAATATCTCAAAAAATGTAAAAGGTCAAAAACACAAAAATAGGAGTCCAGAGTATCCCTAAAACTCCACTGTAGGTTACATGCAAGCAACACATACATTCCCATAGTGCACACAAGCAAAAATATGATTTCCCATATAATACACAGGCAGTTCAGGGCAGCCAAGCCCCATCCCTTCACTATGACATAAGTAACTGTTGCTTTCAATCATAGCAGATAGCAAGACAAACAGCGTAGGTGTTAGTGGAAGCTGAACCACAGCGGAAAAGAAATAGGCTCTGAAATAAAGCTTGTTGGTGCAGCCTCTGTGTGGACACTTATTCTTTCCTTACATAATCCTTCCTTATCTAAAAAATAATTGTATTTGTTTTCAAAATAACAAGAGCAGGAAAAAATTTGAAAGCAACACACCATTATTTCTAATAGTCATGTCTGATTATTTTCAGAAAGTGTAACCATTACAAAATTCAAATCAATGTGCTGAATACGATGTCTAAAGCTCTCAATGCCCTTGGCTCAGCCCACCTTATGGAGAATTGTCTGGAAAGCTTCTGCTCTCTTTGTCGGGGTAGATCTGCAGCAAGGAAGTTTTCCTAGAGAAGCCTGCCAGGCAGCAGGTTGCACCCAGTGCTTCATGAGAAGCATTTCAGTTCCATAACAGGACTTGCATTTTCTCTCCTCTGCTCCCCCCCCGCAAAACATCTGGAGCAGATTTTGAGGGCGTTTTGGGGAAAAGAAGAGTAGGGGGAAGCACTAATGTGTGAGCAGAAGTCTGGTGCATGAGCAGAATGGGAGCATTGGAAACAAACCAATTGTTTCTATTCTACATTTTTTTAAGTTCTTATTTGAACATGGCGAGCCTGCTTTTAGTTATGATGCTCTGCTTTTGTTATTCCTGTCTGGGTGTTTGTAGGCTGTCTCATTTCTTATTTCTTTGTATACCTATTTTTTCACTCTTGCATACCATTGTGGGTATTTCTAATGGGAAGTTAACTAATTTTAATAAACAAACAAACAAACAAACTCAATAGCATATTAAATTAATAGATGTACATACAATCCTCCCTAAAGTCTTGAGGAAATTAAGGGTGTTAAATTTGCAACTCTATGATTCAGTACTAACTCCTAACACAGAGAATAATGTGTCAAGAAAAATCTAAAATACCACTTTTGTGGTGGGACCATTTGTTCCCATTTCATGCAGCAGGCTTTGTTGGATAATTGGGTTGCCTCCAAAACCCACATTTAGCCACCAAGGCTGTATTATACCCAAAACAACCCTTAAGAGATTCTGGCCAACTTTTTCCTGCCTCTAGTCAACACTTGATTCCTAGCAGTGTGAGCAAATTCAGTTCTTGTGCAGATTTAGGTCTTGTAAACTCTTCTAAACTCATGCTGCACAAATGAAGCTTTCTAACCAGACAGAATCTGATCTGTCATATCTGTGTAATTATTACTTTCTAATTACCCCCCTCCCATGGGGCATTCACTCTTATGTATCTGATCCAAGAGATTTCAGAAATGTCATCCTTTGAATAACAACCTAAAACCCTCACTAACATCACAGATGGCCCTAGAGAATTTTCTCCCATTTGTCCTTCTGCACCAAGCTAACATTGAGCTTACCCAAACACATAAATGGAGTCAAGATTTATTATTCGCAGTGTTGATTGACAAGTAAACCACTGCTCGATCATCCAGTCAAAACAGCATTATTCATAAGTACAATAAAACAACCAGCTCAATTGATGTTGTTGTTGTTGCTGCTACATACTGTTCTATTGGGGATTATTTTTATATATATATAAAGTGTACTGAATAAGCAGTCTGCTCTAATTAGCATGAAAGGCTAATGTCTTCTGGCACTTTGAGTTACTTGGAGAGAAAGAAAATCACTTGATCTTCACAACAAAGTATGTTTAATTTATGGGCTCTGGTTTTTTTTTTTACTAAATAGGCTTGCTTATGACATTTCTGTCCTGCATTCCACACTGTGCATTTTCTTTACTTTTATTTTAATTATTTATCTCTATAAAGAACACAGAAGAACAAAGGCAAATGAGGTATAAGCAGAATAGAAAGCTATATAGATGTACAATGTTTCGAATAATATTAAAGACTGAAAGCTGTACATCAAAGAACATACAAAGCCAATACAAAGGTGGAGTAATTTAAAAGACTACATTTCAAAAAAGTTAATCATTTGAAGACTTCCAGCCTAATTTTCTTTCAGATATATATCATTAATATTTTCATAGAATCATGAAATCAAACTCTATTCCTATAATTCTTTATTGCCACTAAATGTAGGTAGCCACAGGCTTCCAACCAATCAGTGCTTCCTGATACTTCAACATTTTGAGTATCACGGTTGGTTTTATCATTTAATTATTACAATGCTACCCCTACCCTTCCAGGGCAGCAAACACCAAAGTGGTAAAATAATACAATTTACTACAACAACAAATATTTTAATATATCTAAAAAAACATGTAGAATTCAATTCCAATTTGTTACCTCCGAGGATGTGGACAGGCTGCTTGGACGAGTGAAACCAACCACCTGTCTCCTTGATCCTTGCCCATCCTGGCTCATAAAAGTGAGCCGGGAAGGACTGAGTGATGGGCTCTGCGGGGTGGTGAATGCTTCCCTCTGTGAGGGAGCCTTCCCAGACCCACTGAAAGAGGCGGTTATTAAACTGCTTGTTAAAAAAAAAAATCTTAGGACCCGGCCAATATGGCCAGCTATCGCCCAGTCTCAAATCTTCCATTCTTGGGCAAGGTAATTGAGCAGGTGGTTGCTGAACAACTTCAGACACGCCTGAAAGAAGAAGAAGAAGAAGAAGAAGAAGAAGAAGAAGAAGAAGAAGAAGAAGAAGAAGAGGAGGAGGAGGAGGAGGAGGAGGAGGAGGAGGAGGAGGAGGAGGAGTTTGGAGTTTGGATTTGATATCCCGCCTTTCACTCCCTTTAAGGGGTCTCAAAGTGGCCAACAATCTCCTTTCCCTTCCTCCCCCACAACAAACACTCTGTGAGGTGAGTGGGGCTGAGAGACTTCACAGAAGTGTGACTGGCCCAAGGTCACCCAGCAGCTGCATGTGGAGGAGTGGAGACGCGAACCCGGTTCCCCAGATTACGAGACTACTGCTCTTAACCACTACACCACACTGGCTCTCTATCGCCCAGTCTCAAATCTTCCATTCTTGGGCAAGGTAATTGAGCAGGTGGTTGCTGAACAACTCCAGGCACGCCTGGAAGAAGCGGACCATTTGGATCCCTTCCAATCAGGATTCAGACCTCATCATGGGACTGAAACTGCCTTGGTCACACTGGTCAATGATCTATGGTGGGTTAGGGACAGAGGGGGAAGCTGTTTTGTGGTTCTTCTGGATCTCCTAGTGGCTTTTGATACCATTGACCATGGTATCCTTCTGGGCCATCTATGGAAGATGGGGGCACTGTTAATCAGTGGTTCTGCTCCTTCCTCCTGGGCAGTGTCCAGAAAGTGGTATTGGGGGATAAGTGTTCAGACCTCTGGGCTCTCACTTGTGGGGTGCCTCAGGGCTCTGCCCTTTCCCTGATGCTCTTCAACATCTATGTGAAGTTGCTGAGAGAGATAATCAGGGGGTTTGGGCTGGGTGTTCAGCAGTACTTGGATGACACCCAGCTCTACCTCTCTTTTAAATCAGAAGGCAGTGAATGTCCTGTGTGAGTGTCTGGAGGCAGTTGAAGGATTGATGGTGGCTAACAGACTGAGGTTCAATCCTGACAAGACATAAATACTGTTTTGGGGGGAAAGGGGGCGGTTGGGTGTGGGGGACAGGGGACACCCTGGTCCTGAACAGGTAACTGTGACCCTGAAGGACCAGATCTGCAGCCTTGGAGTCATTTTGGACTCACAGCTGTCCATGGAGGCGCAGGTCAATTCTGTGTCCATCTGGTACGCAGGCTGAGACCCTACCTGCCCGCAGACTGTCTTGGCAGAGTCGTGCATGCCCTGGTTATCTCCTGCTTGGACTACTACAATGTGCTCTACGTGGGGCTGCCCTTGACTCAGAAACTACAACTAATCCAGGATGTGGCAGCTAGACTGGTGACTGGGGGTGGCCGCCGGAATCATATAACTCTGGTCCTAAAGGATCTTCACTGGCTCCCAGTACGTTTCCGAGCACAATTCAAAGTGTTGGTGTTGACCTTTAAAGCCCTAAATGGCCTCGGGCCAGTATACCTGAAGGAGCGTCTCCACCCCCATCGCTCAGCCTGGTCAACTGAGGTCCTCCTCTGAGGGTCTTCTGCAGGTTCCCTCACTGCGAGAAGAGAAGTTACAGGGAACCAGGCAGAGGGCCTTCTCAGCAGTGGTGCCCTCCCTGTGGAATGCTCTCCCTTCAGATGTCAAGGAGATTAAAAAAACTGCACAAACTACACAACTTTTAGAAAACATCTGAAGGCAGCCCTGTATTGGGAGGTTTTCAGTGTTTGATGTTTTATTGTGTTTTTATATATGCTGTAAGCCATCCAGAGTGGTGGGTATGATGATGATGATGATGATGATGATGATATATCCTCACAGCTAATAATTTCAAGCTTGCCAATTACTATTTATCACCAAGTTTTCTAATGAGTTCTATTCCAGCAGCGGGTTTTGTTGTTGTTCTCCCAACATTTAGGATATATTGAACTTTACATAATGAGCTAATTGACATTTGGATTTGCAAAAGTAGTTACTCTACTTCAGTGATCAGACACCAGGGGTGTCAGGGACTGGCTGGAGGCACCAGCCCTGTGGATGATCCTGCCTGCCTGACAGCCCTGATAAGGGGAGGGGGACCATTTTTGGGCCCAGGGCCACACTCCTTTCTCAACAACCTTCTGAGACCCCTATGGAAGCAAAAATGGGTGCAGCAACAAATGTAGTCAGCTAGGGTTTTTCTGCAAGTTAATTTTTATTCCTATTCAAATTTATAACACATCAAAACCAAATCAAAATAAATTTAATACAGTTTTTTTTCAAAACTGGTTTCCCACTCTTTGACATATACTGTATTCCAATTCATCCCTTTTACATGCTGCTTATTTTACAAATTTATCACCAATTAACATCCATTTTTTCAGCAAATTCCTCATCCCTCAGCTGCACGTTCACTAACTCCTGCATAAAAATAAAACAAAATTATATCAAATAACAACAAGTGAGGTTATAGTAGTTTAAATCTTTCATCTTTCCAACTTGCGTGTAGTTTCATTTTCTTCCAATCTCTACACAGATCCTTCCAATGAAGACTCATCCTTAAACCAGATTCTTTCCTTTTAATGTTCAGTCTTTGCTCCAACCTTTCAAGGCCATTAGTTATATTCCTTTGGAGATAAAGCTTTTACCACCAACCCTTTGTGTTAGGAAGGAGATGTGCCATATTGCCATATTTCCTGGAGAATTCCAACCATAAAAGACTTGGCCACCTCCTTTTGTCTGAGGGCAAATGTATCTTGCCCCTTACAGTTCCAGATGAACCACTACACCAATATATTCACTTCTTCAGGCCGACTTACTATTTACCGTACTTTAATCCCTCATGGCTATTCCTTGATCATAGTGATCAGTTCCAGTCTTCCCAACATAAATTAAAATTTTGTTCTGAGGTCTTTTGTCAAGATGATCCACTGCAAATTCAACCAGTCTCAAAGTCACCAAGCACAACTCAGGTGATCTCTTCTCCTCCATTTCTCTAATGGAAAAATTATATGCCATTGTTATTTGCTTTGCTTTCACATTCCAAGCACTTTCCTCACTTTTTAATCCTCATTTTGGTGGGGGGCGGGCAGTAAAATAAAGCCTTGGCAATTTCCAAGTAAAACATCAAAAAATCTGCCCCACTGCCTCTAATTCCAGTTAACAGCAGGAGTTGTCCTTTCAAGTCATTGAAATATCAAATGAATACCTTCATAGTCCCAATCCTCTGAGCCGGCAGCTGATTTGCTTGTGGCATCCCTTCAATATGTTGCCCAGAGAGCGCCTTTTTAACTTTTATTCAAGTTAGCCAAAATTCGAAGAGGAGATCTACCAGGCACTGAGGCAGACAATGGAGAAGCTCTCACCCAGCACTTCCCCCGCCTGCCTGCCCCCACAGGGACAAACCCAGGCACCTGCAGGTAGCTTAGTCTCCCCAATTCCTATTGAGGAGGTTCAGGGGGCTTTATGGCCTCCTCCTTTTTGCCCAAGCCTCTCTTCAGCCCTGGAGGACTGGAACGATCAGTCGTCATCAGCTGAGGCAGAAGTGGAAACCAGTTAGTTTCTACACACACTAATACACTGCTCTCCATCCTACATCCAGGCAAGCGAGAAGCATCATCAGAGTTTGTTCCAGCCAGGCAAAACCACTCAGGGTGGAAAGAAGGGCCATGAGGGGGCAGGGGAGAGTCTCAAGGGCCAAACAGAGAAGTCAAGAGGGTTCTTGGGCCTGACCATCCCCACTTCTGCCGTATACCAAAAGCTTTTTGCCTTAGGGCACATGTGATAGAAGTCTCACTTATATTTTTTTTTACAAAGCCAGCAGTGGTCACCTCCAACTTTACACACAATATTATTTTTCCCAAGTGACCTGTGCCCTGATATATGTTTTGGTGTGTTCTATACTTCTCACATTCATTTTTCATCAATTAATTTGCTATATGAATCCTCCTTACCAGAATGGTAGTTTGATTGGGTTTTGTCACATAAAACTTAAAAGTAGTGATTCAAGGAATTACCGTATTTTTCGCCCCATAGGACGCACCTAAATTTTTTTTGGGGGGGGGGAATAAAGAAAAAAAATTATTTCCCCCCCAGGCATGGGGCAGGCGCGGGGGAAGCCCGAGCTTCCCCCAACCCCAGCCCCCAGAACAGCCTGCTATCTGCAAGCCTAGGGAGCCGCGCCGGTCTCCCCAGGCTTGCGGAGAGGTGCGCGAAGCCCGGGCACGCTCTTCAGCGCGCACCAGGCTTCAGAATGCAGGCAGCTCTGCGCTACCCTCCGGAGCCCCACGCAGCTTTGGGCTGGGATCCAGAGGGTGGCGCAGAGCTGCAGGAAGCCCTGGAGCGCAGGCAGCTCTGTGCCACCCTCCGGAGCCCCGCGCGGCTTCGCGCCGGGATCCGGAGGGTGGCGCTGAGCTGCAGGAAGCCCGGGAAAGCCTGCATTCGCCCCATAGGACGCACACACATTTCCCCTTCATTTTTGGAGGTGAAAAATTGCGTCCTATAGGGCGAAAAATACGGTATACAGAAATAACTGGATCAGATTGTGGAATCAAATATATAAAATATAAGTATATTATCTATTATCTAGTGTTTAGAGCTGAGGAAGTCTCTCAGTTACCTTTGACACAGGGCTCAGATCTGCAGGCGCAAAATTTTCTGCTTTGTTGCAATGAATTGGAAAGCCTTTGGAATATGCGAGTTCTTTGTCTAAATCAGAGCTCACATGCTGCTACCAAATCAGTGGATGAGGGTGACACCATTGAAGAGTGGGCCATTGAAGAAGCAGGACTAGTTGTATCTATTTGTTCTACCATGTCTACAGAAACCACAGGTCACTCAATTGTATTAGCCTTCCAGAAGTTGCTGGACTGCCAGTTCCCTGAATCCTTGAACACTGGCCATGCTGGCTGGGGCTAATGGGAGTCCAATAATATATGGAGGGCCAAGGATTCCCCGGCCCTGCAGTAGGATAGTTTTCATCAAACCACACTAACAAACCAACAAAAGATCTGCCTTAACTCTAATTTCTGGAGACCAACATTATGTTTCTTACCAAAATATATGGTCTTTTGACACGTGATCCTGCAGGAGTGTCCATTTTGTCCCCAAGTCAATAGATGCATAAAGCTTAAAATATAATAAAAGCAGAACATGTTAGTACAGTTTTTATTTAATCCTTCTTACAAAGTACAATAAGCACAGGCAAATGAATTTTCAAGGCTGGAAGTAATATGTGAGTGAGCTGTCCAGGTGATCAAATTTCTGGCTGCCATCCCTTAGTTCATTTCAATTTGTTTAAATATCAACAAAACATGACCAAAAAGGAAGCAACATTCAGAGTCATATAAATAATCATAGCATAACAGAATGGTTCACACATGTACATTCATCGTCATGACTTTCATATACCTAATATCACTTCCTTACTGGCTGGTGTCATCTCAGACCCAATGCTGTTCAATGGACTCTGCTCAGTTATTCAGCTGTGAAACACTAGCTGTTGAAGAATAGTATGATATGGATGTGTGTAGGGTACAGCCTACACTGAATGACCTGAATAATAATTTTCCATTGCTAAATAATGTCAACCTTATCTGAATACTATTCCTCTAAAGTGGTTAGAACTTATTTTGGTATAACATTTCAGAAATGTCAAATGACCGCTTGACCCTTCTTACCTGTCCTTCCTTGGTGTAGGCAAGCACTTTATCCTCCTGATTTGGATGAAAAATCAGGGTTTCCACAAAGAAATTAATAGGCTGCTTTTGAAAAGTTGCTCCTTCATCTGTGCTAATAAAAAGACTCTGATCCAGGTCATTATGGGAAGAACTTACAAGAATTATCTACAAAAGAAAAGAACAGCAGATTAGCCAGACTCTTGTACTACCTACAGGAATCTTTTTCATCTTATTAAAAGGCAAAGAAATGTAGGAGCGGAAAATAGGCAGACATGTACTGAGCTGATTCAGCTCAATCTTCCTTCCAACTGGTCCAGAAACCAAAAGAGGAACTATATCAGCCATTTAATGATAATTCCTTTAGGACAGGTCATATAAGCTACAGTTATAACCATTGGTTTTATGCCACTTCAACTCCCATGGCTTTTCCTAAAAAAAAACCCTAGGATTTGTAGGATGATGATGTAGGAATTCTGTTTTTACGATCCCCTATGCTACTTCTCCATAGAACTACAATTCCCAGAATCCCCTGAAGACGAGAAGGGACTTTTATAGCACAATCGTATAAATGTAACTCAAAAGAAAGTTCCCTTTTCTTCTACGGTGCTTATTCCCTGGTGGGGTTGCAGCCTAGAACCAGAATTATCCTCGTGCTTTATCAGTGATCATATCACAACTGGCACAAGATGTTTGGAAGGAGGCAGCAAAATAAGGGGGGGGGGGGCAAGGACTGCAGTTGGAAGGAGGCGGGGATAATAAAATGTTGGAAAGAACTAATCTTCCTAATACTACCATTAATGCTGCAAAGCTGCTTCCTAAGACAGTATTTTCCTTACTGAGCGATACAATACATTTTAAAATGACAATTCTTTGCCCATGTGCTCATAATCTAAAAAATGTCAACATGTACATGGTAAATCTCTAGCGGTGGTGAGAGTCAGCAGTCAATGATTTGTCTAGATCACAATTCACTGCAAACTGCATAAAGAAACTAACTGAATTCTGCAAGAGGAATCGCCTCATGCAGGGATCCTACTGGGGCCACTCTGCAGTACCTTTCACGGTTCCCACTGGCAGACCTATTCAGGCATTTATAATTTCCATGTGCTAACAGCCAAGCAGCAATGTCCTGGGGGGCCCTGAAGCAGGGGAGGCCCCCTATGCCTGGCCTTCATCCTCAAACCCATTGAGTGCTGTAAAAGGTGACCTGCCAGCAGGGCTGGGGCTTGGCAGCTCAGCCAGCCTGCTCCCCCTCACCCGCCAGTTTGCACACAAGCCAGATGACAATCCACTCCAGATTTTGCTTGGAACTAGACTGTATCCACTAACTGCAGATCCAGAATTAGCTGTTTTCAACTCAAGAGTGAGTAACAGTGTCACTCACTGTCCACAAGTGACATTTCAGAGGAGACTGAAAGGCTGTTGTACCATGGATTATGAAATAACACGGTGAGGTGAACAAATTAGTTCAAGATACATTCTGTGTGTAAGCAAAACCACTGAAGACTCCCCCCTCCTCACAGAGCCAAAGGTCAGATTATCACATTATTGTGCAGCGTGGCTGCTGCTGAAGAATCCCTGCAGGGTTGCGGAGCTGCAGGCAACATAGGTAGCAGAATATCCATACTTGTTTGAGGGGAGGGAGGGGCGGCTGCAACCCCTATGGCTGAATGCACGAGTGTAGAGATGCCCCAAGTGATTCTCTGGCATGTGGACTGTGGGTCCAAACAGGTGTGATGTAAGCATGCAAATGCACACAGCGGCTGTTGCTTATTTTAGCAATAGCAAGCTGCAGGGACATTCAATCAGGGCTGGGACTGCAGCACACAGAGAGGGGGGGCAGGTTAACCATTTAACGCGTGCAATGGTCCCAACATGCTTGCCTCCTGGAGCTAATACAGGAGTAGGCAACCTAAGGCCCATGGGCCATAAGCAGCCTATGGGGGTCGTTTAACCGGCCCACGAGCTGCCCCCAAACCGAGCCGCCCGCTTGGCGAGTCCCCACGTGCTGCACTAAACCTGTGTGGCGTGGGGACTCGCTTCTGCGGCGCTAGAAATTGCATCTGCGCAGACGCAGACACCGGAAATTGCGGGTGTGTGCACACGCAATGCAGCCCACGGAGGGATCTCGGCTGGAGTGAACTGGCCCAGGCGAGGTAAACCTTGCTGACCCCTGAGCTAATAGAAGCTTCTGGAGGAAGGGTTTTTGGCAGGACTGCAGAGGGAGGTAAGAGTTAACTCCATTACCACAAAGCTGAGGTTCCAATCCCTCTTGGGGCTGCAGGAAGAGAGAGCTGCTATTGTTATAAGAAAAAATCAGGCATGTTAGATGCGTTCACACATTCAACATCATGCCTTTTCGGTCAGATGTTATGAATGTTAAGCGCTACATACGGCAAGGGGTCAAGAGCATGGCAAAGAAGCGTTTTGCTGCCGTTCATGCTGCAGCAAGAAGAGCAACAATGAAATCAGGCCAGAGTCGGCTAGTGCTACAACTTCAGGATACCTGCAATTGATACTCTGAAAATACCTAGTGTTCATTATCAGGGCTTACCTTGAGCCTGAACTACAATATTAAGAGGAAAAGACTAAAATTGATTTTGGACTTAAATAGGAGATCACCTTGGGAGGGGGTGGAATCCTAATATGAATTACCATAACTAGCTCACTATCTGGCAATTTGCCATTTCTCAATTTCCTTTCATTATTTGTAAATTAGAATATTGCATTATTTCTAATGTTGCAGTAATCAGTAAGATTAAGATTGTAAAACACTGTGCAAATTACACATGATCCAATACGATTCATAACAACACAATTGTGGTGTTCTGTTCCAAATTCATGTGCTGCACAGAGGGATCCTCAATTTACGTGCTTCCATCAGCCTCTGATAGTGGGAGAAAAGATTTCCAGTAGCAGCAAAGAACAGAGTAAACTGGGCTCAGACAATTACAGTGGTACCTTGGTTCTCGATCATAATCTGTTCCGGAAGTCCATTTGTATTCCAAAATGTTCAAAAACCAAGGCACGGCTTCCGATTGGCTGCAGAAGTTTCCTGCACTCAAACATAAGCCGCATCGGACATTCAGCTTCCAAAAAACATTCAAAAACCAGAACTCTTACTTCTGGGTTTTCGCGTTTGGGAGCCAATTTGTTCGTCAACTAGGCCATTCAAGAACCAAGGTTCCACTGTAGTTATTCATTGAGTTCATTTTCTATCACACCAATTCCCAAGAGTTGCAGCCTAGTAACAACAGTTTAGGAGGGAAATATAATGAAAGCAGAATGCTCAATTAACAAGCAAATCATGCTGCCCCTCCCAAAGTTGATGGGCATTGCCATTCAAATAGTGTCTGTGTGTGCCACATCATGTGATTGATTATGCAGGGCCTATTATTCAAGTTGGCACCCCTGCAACCAAGCAACTCCTAACTATTCTGACATGTGGGCCACTTCGCCTGGAAAAACCAATCACAGATAAATTTCCAGAGCTCACTGACAGTCAGCAAAGCCAGAGAAGTTCTTTGATGCTTTACATCTCTTTCCAATGAAATGTCCATGTACCACCAAAAGAAATGTGCATGAAATGAAAATGCGGCATATCAAAACATGAAGAAGGAAATCCATAATGTTTAGAGATTCCTGTCCACATCCTTTTGACACACCAAAAACATACCAACCTTGCTTGCACCTAGACAACGAACTGCCAAGGACATTTGTAATACAACAGAAAGAGGAGTAACTTGTCAGATTTGTAATAATATAAAATTCTCCTGCTAACCAGGTTTCTGTGATAAGAAATGTATCAATATACAGTGGCATTCTGCTCTTCATATATTAGTAGCCAGTTTTTTCTTTCAGATTTCTCCGTGTGATTGTGTAAGTGGGTAACAGGTACATGGAGAAAGTCTAGGGTGAGTCAGGGCTCATTCGCACTTCCGCTTGTCTTGTGCCAAATGATTTTGTCTTTGCCCTATCGCTTTCCCCTGGAAAACCTGCTCTTTAGTGTAAAATCGGAACAAACAGCAATCTGAGACAAACCTGGTTGCCATTTGTTCTGATTCAGCACTAAACCATGGGTTTCCCCAGGGGAAAGCAGCAGGCAAAACGGAGGTGGGATGAGTCTGTACATGCAGCCCTCATCCCTGCCACACTCACCTCAGCCATTGTGATCACGGAAATGGCTACTGACTTCCTGCATTCACATCCAGTGTACACTAGTCTCTCTACATGGCAGTGCACCCGTGTATATAACCGTATGGAGGAGTCTGTTCACTCCATTACTCATTAAAAACATGAATTTAGGTAAATTGATCTCAGTTGACATATGCTATTCTATGTGCTACCTGGAGATGGCAGCATTAAATTTCCCTCTGTATTGTTCTAGCCTCTATCCCATACTATTATGCAATTTCACATTCCAGAAGTACTCTGCTGTGGTTTTTAATTACTACGTGAAAGAAATATCGTGCAACTGCTGTTAATTTGGGAGCGTTACCAAATTATGAGCTTATTTTTGTACACTGTCAGCATATGTTCTATGTAGCAGGTGGTATGTAGAAATGTCTTATAATATAAAAAACCATAAAACGTAATGCAACAGAATTTACACCTTCTAGTTTTTGGCTACTGGAAAATTCACATTGCGTGCATATTAATTTTGTGTGCCTCCTTGGATAAGACGCTGCAGGTATGATTCCATGTGAACAGTATTCATCTATACCAGGGACGTCCAACTCCCGATAGACTGTGATCTACTCACAGTATAAAAAAACTGGCAGTGATCTACCCATTGTCGTAAAAAGACTGGCAGTGATCTACCCAAAGTTGTGGAGCTTTTTTAGGAAGCCAAAGTTGGTGGGGTTTTTTTTTGCTTTTTTTGCTTTTTTGTAAGGAGATCGCTGAGGAGCCAGAGGTCAACCAGGATCTACCAGGAACACCACGTGATGTACCAGTAGATCACGATCTACCTGTTGGACATGCCTGATCTATACCAAAATGCCTAAAAGTTTTGTCTGTTTCCCTCATATCATTAGTGGGTCTGGGAGTAGGAAACCCAGCTGTGAGAAGGAAGGGGGCAGAAGAGAGCAAGGCAAAGAGTCACCATTCCCACCTGCTCCACCAAATGGGACTGGCCTCCACATCCCCTCACCATGGCCATCGCA